ACCGAGTGGAGCCGGATCCTGGATGGATAAGCCGGGAAAGAAAAACGTTTTGCCTTCATTGCTGATGTGCCTCAGAGCCTTGCACCCGAGAAAAGTATGATAATTTCTCACTGAGTCTCGGACGATGAGGGGTTTGACAGTGGTCTAGACGGTGGCGTTGAAACCAAAAGATGATCGACGATGCTTTGGGAAGCCTGTGGCGTCAAGTCTGTACCTGGCTGGTGCACTAGAAACTGCAGTCAATATTATTAGGGCTGGTAGAGCGAATGCCCAGTGGCAGCATGTAAGAATGGGGAGGGGAACGGTAGTATCGTGGCTCTTGGTGTGGAGTTTCACTATGTACAGTACGGAGTACGTACATCCTGTACATAGATAAGACTGACGATGACTGAGGCGGCGGCGGCGGGCTTATTTTTCCTGCCCCAGCCTACCAGGATTATTTTGACTATCATTGGTGCTCTCCCAAAGAATCTCAATCGATGCTTGAACACACTACTATTTCGATCTCAGAGATTCCAGTGCGAAACGCCGAAATGCAAACCTCCTACTCCACATGGTGATTCAGCAAAATTGCCGATCGACCTAGGCTCCAGGGACTTTAGCAAACCTCCAGAATTCGTTACCGTAGCTGATTGGGGAGTCTGGTGGTACAAATGTTTCAAAATCCAGGTAAGATTTGAAAAACACATAATTATTGAGTATTTATTAGCGTTCTTCTTTGTGGTCATAATCCAGGTAGACTTAGTTTTCGATAGCCAACTAAAAAATGCCCGGGGGGAGGGGTAAATGGAGGGATGGGGAGGTGTTATTCACTAGGGACTGTAGTTAGTAACAATTGAAGCGGTGGGGGAAGTACCGTATTCTACTGTAGTGATAGAGTAGTGGTAAGAGTACGGAGTAGTGGACCAACTAGATAACTGCCTACCCTAAGGTATGGCTGGTATGGATGGATAACTTTTATTCTACCCCGGGGAGATCCCGAGCATCTGGAAGATTGACGGACGATGATCCAATTCCATGATCCGCGTTAAAGTTTAGTTTTAGTTAACTTATTGCCTGCCCACTAACCACTTAGTCAGGGCTCTCCCCAGAAGCTAAACCTGCCCCTAGTGGTCGTGATCCTCTGACGTTCGAACATTCCATCAGTGGTTCTTCCCCTCCCACATCTGCGCCTCATGCATTCCTCCATTTCTTTTCTTTTTGTTATTCTTCTGCTGCTTTACTCTTCGCTTCTAGTATCGTCTAGCTCAGTTTAGTCTAGCTCAGTCTTGTTTTGTTTTGTTTTCTTGTTCTTTCGCTTGCTTTTTACTCTCGCATCGAAATCTGTTTGGCTGACTCTAATCTTGTTCGCATCTTCCGACGGAGCGATTGACCACTCGCCGAGTCACCTACATCACAGCGGCCGCATCTTGCGGTATACCAACAGTCAAGGAGATGAAAGAGAGAGGAGGGGGGGATGAAAACCCCGAGTCGGATGCATTGCATCTGCCAGAGGTAATTTATCGTCACCGATACAGTCTGAAGTAAGATTGTTACGATCATGATCTGCTGTCCATTCTCGAGGTGATGATTCGAGGTGCATGAGGCGGACCCAGGCAAGCCATGGGACGATCCACTTGACCGGACGGAATTAGACACTTAGATCTGTGATCATATTGTGACTTCCGGAGTGGAAGTGGACAAATTACACTACAAGAGCAAACCAAGGAAACGAAGTCATTAGGACATAATAGGATTATTGGTTTTAATCTTTGAGTGTTTTCTTTGTCTCTAACTGTAGTGGCAACCTAAAACTAGAATGATTGAATGTTTTCGACATACTCAGAGGGTATCAGGCAGCAAGATGAGGAAGGTGAGTGTAGATTCAAAGCCGTAGTTTTAGAAAAATTAATGAAAGAAAAAAAATAAAAATAAACTGCTAGAGTAAATACCTTAGATCATAACATCACTCAGAGGAAGGGAATAGAAAAGAATCCCGAAAATAAAATAGACTCGCAATAAAAATAAATTCGAAGGAAAAACAATTACTTCCCCCAAAGAATTCTAAACCATCTTTCCCACCCCCCCTCCCTCTTTTCCAAGTGAGGGATAGGGCGACAGGAAAGAAGCTCACACTTGCACGCTGTTCTCTCTTCTGCTCCTTCACCTAATACAGTAACTCGGCCATATAATAGAACAGATTTAACCTCCCACTTGAGTCCTTTCGTCCCCCGGTTTCCCCTGCCAACAAAGGAACCTCCACCACTCCTCCCCCCTCTCCGCCAGGCACAACCCTTCGACCTTGGAACACAAGTGCAATATTAGACAAATTTACGCTTCTATCGATAATCCTAAGACATCCCTTCCACTTGACCTGCGTCTCCAAATCAATTGTCTCCATTATCCCCTTGCTGGACTGTACTGTCTTTCCTATAACTACAACACCCTTCTGCTGCAACTGAGACACAGACAACCCATTTCGGCTTCAACCTCTACGACTCGACCGTTATTCTCACCCCTCTCGCACTTACTTCCGCTCGTCGTGGGAACACAGGATCGAGAACACCGCGTCTACAGGGCGACTTATCGATCTCCATTCACCCCCATCCGGTTCCCCCCCCCCTCCATCATCATCATCGCGGTGATCACGTCTATCCCCCTCCTCTCGTCTACTGCGTCTACTTGCACCTTGTTCGTTGTCTTTTAATCCAGAGACAATCGCGCCTCCTAGGAAACGGTTTGACTCGAGACCAGGGTTTCTACCAATCGAAGACGTCTTTTCCCTCCCCTTCCAGAGGGACTTGTCGCGGTTACTAGAGAAACTCTATAGTCTACATTCCTGGCCTTGCGTAGGCTCTCCAAAGGCACGCGACGCGCCTCTTGATTTTGACTCTGGTCCTTTCCCTCGCTACTCCTTTGGGGACTAGCTAAGCAATGACTTCTGACTGTAAGTGCGATCGGCCTTTTGGTTCCCTTCACAATATATGACCGGGAGATTTGTTTATTTCACCTCGCCTGTCCTCCTCCATTCCCCAACCTCGCACCCTCTCTTTCTTTCTCAGCTCTATTCCCAACCCAGGTTGGCCTTCCTTCATTCTTACAATTGCTTGTGCATCCCATCCAACATATCCTTCGCTCTCTAAGGAACTCATCCTCACTGTCCCTCTCTATCTCTCGTTGAGATCGCCGATAATTGTTTGTTGATCGATCTTGGTCCCCCGTTGCCGTTCACTACTTTATACCTTTCTCAGCGGACCTTGCCACATTCCCTAATATACTAATTATAACCCTACCAACCCGCGCTTGTTGTGTCATATACCCGCATCTGACGCAGTACACATCACTCCTCCACTGCCTTATATTGTTGTTCTCTCCCACCTGCGTGGAGCTCCCATCTGCAATCACCTTCCCGCATCAGTTTGTGACGTTCCAACCAAAAACTAAACAGTACGTCGGACAGGTGTTAAACTCGAAGTTCCTCCTGCCCCGCCTCGCAAAGACCGTGAGGAGAACGAAGAAATGAGACCCCAGGGTAGCATGTGTGATCGCCTAACTGTCGAAGTTGATTGTACATCCCTGGGCTCGAACGAGTGCCCCTCCATGACTAGCTTTTCGCCTCTCGATTCACCAAAGACCACGCCTACCAGTGTCTATAGTCACGGGTCATTGCAGTCTCCTGGCTGGCACGAGGGCGGATCATTCCCCAGTCAGGCCTACGAGCGGCACACCGGGTCGACCCCCATGCGCAGTGCTTTTCGCTTGGCTAGTATGACGTCGAACGATGTGATGGGTATGCCTTACTCCAATATGGAGCCCCAGGAGCGGATGCCGATGACCGACTTCTTGTCTGGATATGACGAGAATGTTGAACAATTTTGGATCCCTTCGGAAGCGCCCAAGACATACGAGCATGGAGTACACGCGCTCCCATACCCTCCGCATATGCACCACTACACTACCATGGCTCGCCCGAATTATCGCCAGCACCATGCACCATATCTCCCAGAATCTGCAACCAACCCTTGTTTATCGCGATCCATCTTCCACCATCAACATGAACGGATTCCAACTTCCATGTCAATGGGAAATATGATTCCTTGGATGGCCCCGCCCGCCGAATCGATTGCTCCACAGACAATTGCGCCCTCCCAGGTTGCCCCGGTCACTCCACCTCCATCGTACTCGGAATTCCCAGCATCACTCGGTGCCTTCAAGACACACACCCCAGCCACTCCAGTGCGGTCCTGCTCGCTGGGTAGTGGATCTGGATCGGATACTCCCATTTCTCGCCTGTCAGGTAGCATGGACTACATGGATGACTTTAGTCAATCACCTGTCTACCGGGATGGTCTTGTTCGAGTGCAGCGTCAGCCCTCTCGCAAGACTGCCCGGAAGCAAGCCTCTAAACAGAGCCTGAGCCTGGAGAGCCTCCCGTCTATTATCAAGCAGGTGCAATTTAAGTGCAAAGAGCCCGGGTGCAAGGGACGCTTCAAGAGGCAAGAGCACCTGAAGAGACATATGAAAAGCCACTCCAAGGAGAAGCCCCATGTTTGCTGGGTCCCTGGGTGTCATCGCGCATTCTCCCGCAGTGACAACCTTAACGCACATTATACGAAGACCCACAGCAAGCGAGGCGGCCGCAACCGCTACGTCGCCACCTTGGACGAAAAAAGTCCCGACTACAACCCAGAGTATCGCGGCCAGCTGACCCCTGATGGGCGACCGCTGTATTCTCAAAAGCACGACGATACCATGTCAGGCACTCGTCATATGAGTGTCGAATGGGACGATTGAAAGCGGGCGGAAGTTTAGGACAGGCGGACCAAACCATGATACCCTTGGCGAACAGGTTGCCATTTCTCCTTTTTGGTCTTAGATGGGGACAGACACACAGGGCCAGGCAGACCCTGTCGGCGCTTCGCGGCGTTTATTTGTAAAACATACCTGGTTATATACACCGGATAATTTCCTTTGTTGGTTTTGATGTTGCATATCCTTTGTTTTTTTTTTACAAAGTTCGTTTCCTATCCCTCTTTCAATTCTCCATCCATTGCACAAAAAACGTGTCTTTGGAACGCTGAGGAGGCTTATCACCATATCGAATAATAATGCATTGAACGCTAAAAAAAGCACGGCAGAGTTTTTGTACACTTCAAGTGATCGCTGTTTGTCTGCTATGCTTGATCTGATTGATCTTATTGTTGACTACCGACACCCTTATAGGGGCTAATCACCGATGGATTGTGGATGGAAGCCCGAAGGAAGACTATGGAACGCCAGTGGAAAGAGAACGAAGGAATGAAAATGCTCTTTTTTGTTTTTTCTGTCAGGCCTGATGCAGCATCCTTTTCCTTTGTCTTGTATTATGATGGATCAAATCTTGACTTTCTTTTTTCTTTTTTCTTTTTTTTTTTTATTTACTCCCCATACAATGTACTTTCAAGTGGAGATTCGATGGCTTTAGCGTGGTTTCGAAGAGTCCGTTGGATGAGCTGGAACACATCAACTCAGCCGAGGCGTCGGGCTAGCAAGATCGGGCCGAGGTTAATTCTGTCTCTGAATGACAGCCTGTCGTGTCTAGGGGAAGCAAAAAAGATGGATCTGTGTCGAATTGGGTGTCAATCGGTGGATGTGTCATTCGAAAACATTTAGTTTGTTGAATTGAAAACTGGTGGAGATGTGTACATTCAGTGATGGCTCTGTCTCTCCACTTGCCCACATTTCCATCCACAATGGCAGATTCCCTATTGGCGGAAGGTCTGCCGCTTCCCATGGATCTGTTCTATCTTATAGATACCTCAGGCAGGCTAGACTCAAAACAGACAAACACATCCACAGTCCAGCAACTACTGCAATGGTAATGCTAGATCTTCCCGGTGGCTAGTCACATACTGAACATAATGAGAGCAACTTAACTACGTACTAGCCTCCTAGGTAGTACTGAGTATGCACAGTACTATCCTTGCCCCCAAACACGTTACAATCAATCAATCTCCTTTTTCCGTCCTCAACTCCCCATCTCCGCATCGCTTTTTTCTTTGCACTGCCTCGATTACCTCTCGGCTTCCTTCTCCCCACTCCTGGTTCCAGCAACCGGGATGACTCCAAGCCTCTGAAGCCCAAAGAGCAATAGTCCCACATGCCAAGCCCCGTGGTTATCGAGCTCTGAGACCTGAAGATGATTGATTCACTCCCTAGGCAGTTATTTATGGTGTTTACAACAGCACATATCTCCGCCTCCATGGGGCAGGTCGCACGGAATGCTGGCATCTGACTGTTTTTCCCCGATCCGTCCCAGATCACTGGGCCACGGCACACCGCTAATCGACTCTCTGCCGTGCGGTCTTACCATTCGATCGGGAGAGATACATACTGAATTCGATGGATATCTCGGGGTCCATGCGGTGGAACATGCCGTCTATCAATATGCACTCGTCTTTCCCTTTTGGACTATTGCTCTGTTCGTGGACGACGGAACTCCAAATTGCTTTCTGAGTAGCTCTTTTACAGGGGCCCAGCAAACCACTGGATACCTATTACCACCGATGATACAAGCTCCGTTTGCACATCTCGACCTGTAGAGCGTACTTTCCCATACAGCTGACTAGCATCATAGAGTAGCTCGTCTGTTCTCAAACCCAAGCTTCAAAACTTCTCGACTTACCATCTCGACAAACGAACATTCAAGTGTTGCACAAGACAAATGCAAGATCAGCTACAATGATCGGTTCAGCTCCCAGCCGTCTACGTGACAGGCCTTCGTCAGACTGACGCTTTTGATACAAATCATGGCGTCAGGTCGAAGGTGAACGTCCATCAAAGATCTTATATATGCAGCTCTGGCTATCATTCGTTTCGATAATGCTACAGCATTCAATGTGTGATGTACTGTGGCAGGAGCCACAATCGATTGGCCAGCCTTCGCAAGTCAAGAATCATGCTTGACTGCCTCGGAACGACGATATGGAATGTGTGCGATGAAGTACGCCTCTGGGTGCTCTGTGGTCTTTAGGAAGTACCTGTAATGTACTTCATGCTAGCAGAGTGCCAGCAGGACCCTGCTAATTCCTGGTACGTGGGTTTGGCTTTTAGCCCGTGACGCGTCAAAGTCAGACCCAGGCGCTGTGCAATTCAAGGGAAGAGTAGAGGCTACCCCCCATTACGCGAACTTTTAGTCTTCGGCAACTGATACTTAAGGTGCGTGTGGAATGGAATCCAACCCCTGTCCCTGTGGAGGTGTGAGATCGTGTTACCAAATATGGATCGGTGCAGCAAGACTGTCTTGTCCAGATTGGCGACTCACTGTTAGAGGCCATGCCGGCCACCGGGAGCTGGCCTTGGCATGAACGGTGTTGAATGGGATAACCATATGCGCATGCATGCTCTGCAGGGCCCGCCCTAATTTCGACTAGTTTGCATATAGCTGGGGAGTTCTTGAATTTTAGAAGCTGTGCCAAGGTTGGCGTTCTAAGAAGCTTCGAGAGCCTGATGTGCTCATGTACAGCACGTATGTACTTGGGCAATGTTTGTGGGCATGTCTATTACATACTGCCCAGGCATGTGCGACCACAGATTGAAAAATGCTACGGGAACTTCTATCCACCAGTCCCAGCATCAGATCAGACTTAAAAGTATTAGGTGGTATCCCAGAGCCACCGCCCATCTACAACCTCTAGATACTACCTCGGAAGCTCCACGCCTCAACTCGAGTGCTGGTGTGAGCGGGGTGGTTCCTGTTCTAGACGCTTCTTCGATCACGCCATGGGCGATCTCCGTGCCATTCTCTCTGCTCATGCATTTTTGTAGCGCGATGACCGCGAGATCCACATATCCTCAGTGTCTCCACTGGCACTTGCTTTTTCCCTTCTGGTTCTGTGGTACTTATGCCTATCAACTTCCACGTATAACTTGGTCTACTATGGTTCGTTAGAATCGCAGATGCAACAAGCATCTCACCGAGCCCACGAACTCATAGATAGATCTTGCTGGTTTAGGATTTATTGGTTGCGGTGGTACATGGCTCTTCCCACACAAGTTTGCAGGCCGACTGGGCCTGTATACCGCGCTAAGCCCGTAAATTCAAGTCAAGCTTTGCTGTAGACGTGAGTGAAACAAACTCAAGTGCAGCTCCTAAATCGGGAAAGCCACAGCAGCCGTTATTATTGCCTGCCCTATTTACATTGGGCTGGACTGGATCCCAGCTAGCCTCTGCTCTCATACAAAACTGTAGGATCGCACGACTGCACATACGAACTATCAGTGTTGCTAATCCGGCCACAGATTCCAAAGGCCTTTTCCCACTTGTTTACATGTGGGAAAGTAGCTAGTTCCACCAACCAACCAACCACCAAGAAAATCAAGAAACATGTTCCAGAAGCCTACCTCTGAGACTCCAGAATCGTCGTCACCAACCCTCCCAATCTTTTTCTGTCTGCAATCCCACAATTCGGGCTTTGCTGCTAATTGCCGATCACCGGAGATACCCGGACTCTTTTCCCTGCACCCTCCCATTGCACGATCTACGAAAGCACCGTTCGTCCTTTCGACAACCATCAGTCAGAAGGCACCCACTGAACTATGTACGCCTTCCCAAATGAACAACACAGTCAGTATACGTACTAGTTCCCTTCCCCACTCACGGAGAATCTGCGAGCCTGCCATGGCATCGTCATCTCAGGTGGCTCTCACTATGCCGAACTATCTATTTCAACATAAGTAGTATGTGCCTTAGCGTAGCGACTGCCTTGGTTTGACCTGCTAATTCTACTTCCATCGAGACTCTCCCTACTATGATCTGCCTCACCGAGCCACAGTATGGGATACCGGTAATTACCTTTCCGTCTGCGACGGTGTTTGGGGGGGAAGCCCAGGATGGATTGTGGCTCCAGGCTTGCGAGTCAGTTTAATGGAATCAATGCAGCCTCAAAGCAGTAGTTCGAGCCTTCTGAGAGGAATTTTTCCTTTGTGTGAACAAACCGTCCTGGTACGTTATGACAGCTCACATGCAATTGAGGCGTGGTGTTGATTCCATCCATATATAGTATAGTCATTCATGCCTGGGGCACGCAGGAGATCCTCTGACCTCATCACTAAGCAGGCAGCGCAGCACAGACCACCACGTCAACCCTGCTTACCTCAGATCGTATGATTTAAACCACTTCTCCTCCTGCGCGAATTCCTTCGTCCTTTTGTTTTCTTCTTATCCTCCTGGTTGCCAATCGTTGTGCTTCCGCAATAAGAACCGCGGACAATGGTCGACCCATCACTACTATCCCTGTCCCTCAACTCTCTGCATGATGTTGGTAGAGCGGGCGAATGGGCCCTGCGGGGCGATTAGTGGTGGCGAGAGAGAGGTCTGGATGGTTCAACTCCACCGGGTGACCCTGGGTCCAATGGTCACCACGGCTATGGTACCTCGATTATCTATGGACAGGAAGTGGTTGACGTTGACTCGATTGACTTCTCGAACGATGATGACTCTTTCTCTTTGGCATGATGCAGGCTCAAGATGTCTGCTATGAGTGCTCCTTTTCAAATATCAAGCTCAACAGTCTGAGTTCGGAGAGGGCAAGTAGCTAGTCGGCAGCCCATACTTGGATGTGTTGTTGGTGGTGCAAAGAACGACAAGTTATGTTTGTGCGCTGTGGGTCTATTTCACATATCTATATTATTTCCGTAGAAGCATAAACAGAAATATTCCATGCCTTCTCTTTTTGCTCTCTTTGAGACAGTCCACCGAGTGACCCTGAAGAACCCCACCCCGGCGATCGGACTCGGCCAATTCGCAGAGGCCAACAATAACCACCACAACACCACCACAATCTACATCACTCCGTCCCCTTCAACTTCAACCCCAAAAACACCGTCTCCTCCACCAAAGGCGTCTCATAATACGGCCCGACGTCCACAAACCCCGCGGCCCGATACAACCTCAACGGCCCCTCCATCGTCCGCAACGTGTCGAGTCTCATGGCTTGATACCCCAGCTCCCTGGCCCGCTGCACCACCGCCTCCACCAACGCCTTCCCCAACCCCATCCTCCGTGCCTCTGGGGAGACATACAGCCTTTTCATCTCACAGTACTTGATCTCCGGTGTATTATGGTCATCATCACCACCATGACTAGGATCTAGGAATTGTGATCGTAGAGTGAGAGGACGGAGAGCTACGCAGCCCAGAGGAATGTTGTGCTCTTCTGTTGTGCTGCCGTAGGCCAGGAGAAGGTCTCCTCCGTACGCGGCACCGTATTTACCCGGAAGGGAGTTGAGCTCGGTCTCGAAATCCTGGAAGGTGAGGTCGATGTTCAGCCATTCGACGTAGGCGCGGAAGAGCGAGCGTATGGCGGAGAGATGCTCGGGGGTGTGCGCGGGGATGATGCGGTAGGGGAGCGGGGGGCTAGAATTCGTTGTTGAGGATATCATGGTTGATGCTTGGGGTATCAATTGATGAACGTTGAACAGTTCAGGTAGAGACTGATGTCATTGCTTGATTGTATTAATCTAGCATGCACTTTTCGTCTATCCGACGTCTGGTATCGGGCGTGCCGCTGTGGTGACTCAAAAAATTGTTGGTATTCTTGATGCCTCAGGCTGGAATATTGCTTCCTTTCTGCAGTGCGGGCCGAGCATCTCTTCTCCTCTTTCTCTTACTCCTACTTCGTAATTATCTTCCGTCTGGTTTGCTGCGACTCGATGAGTTCGATACCATTCAGGTCACTCCCTTCGATTGCCACGGCGCTTGATTGTGTGTGATACAAAGGAGCAGCATGTGTCCCACATCATCTGGCTATCAGGGTCCGAGGTCGAAATGTGTCTCGATCACTAGTTGACGGAGTCTATCTACAATGGCTCCTCGGCCTTATCGGTCGATACCTCTCTCACCTTCGATCAATCTATTATCATGGCATGCTCCGACACACCGGAATATTATCAACAAGGCATGGGCGGGGAGCTCCGATGCCAAGTCAATGCCTTGTTATCGTGCTCTATACTCTTCTGCAGGAATGAATAGACAGCTTTTAATCTACGCAGACATCAACTGAGATTATCTGCTCCGTGCTGGGCCTGCCGGCGAGCTTCCATCAACATCGCACATCGCAAGTGATTGGCGGCAGGTGTTGACACTGCATCACCCAACATGGCTTCTCCAAGACCATTCGTCCAGCCTGGTCGATGAACAGATGGAGTTCTCCAAATTAAGCCGGTCCTCAGAAGCTGAAGATCTTCCCTCCACAGCGAATCAGATCGCCAGCTGCCCCGGCGGGAAGAGCAATGCAACCCATCCTAATGCACACTACTTTGACCAACCTTTATCGATTGTTTGGCATCTGCTCCCATTGCTTCTTCTCCGAAGGAATCCCGTCGTAGCTTCATCTAGTCTCCGGCTGCAGAATGACGCTGTCACGCTCAATTGGCCATTCATCGTCCACAAACCCCCAGTCGCCCTGCGGGTCCTGACAGCATCGTCCGACTCCCGACTCAATTATCGGTCGGTCCTGGCGAATCAGCAATTCCTTATCAGCACATGCTGCTATCAGCCCTCATCAAAATGCAGAGAGGGACTCTCCACCACAACCGAGGGGTATGCGGCATGAGCGAGGCAGGCCGGACAATTGTCCATCACCGGCGTATAAGTAGCGCCAACTCCTTCTCTCCTTCTCGTTTGCTATAGCATCTTGTTTTATCTGTCTAGCCACACCCCCCTTGCTCGCTCTCAGTTCCAGCACAATGCCTCAAATGTCTCTCCCCGCCATGGGTGTTTTCGCCCTAAGTGCGCTCAGCTCCGGTGTCCTGGCTACCATCGACACCTGCCCCTCCGACAGCCCTCTCAGCTGTCAGACCGACAACGAGGCTTCCTGCTGCTTTGAATACCCCGGTGGCTCCCTTCTCCAGACCCAATTCTGGGACACCGACCCTGTCACCGGTCCTAGCGACTCCTGGACCATCCACGGTCTCTGGTACGCCCGTTCTTCCTACTACCTTCAAAAGTACTTTACAACTTGGCTGACAGTAACCGAACTCCAGGCCCGACAACTGCGATGGCTCCTACCAATCAAATTGCGATGCCTCGCGCGCGTACACCAACATCACGGAGATTCTCGAAGCACAGGGTCGCACCGAGCTGCTCGAGTACATGAACACGTACTGGCAGAGCGACGATGAAAGCAACGAAGAATTCTGGGAGCACGAGTGGGCCAAGCACGGTACGTGCGCTTCCTACACCGGGCGCTCTTATGACCCCCGAGCGTGTTCCTCAGGTCTCAACTATACTGACTTTACGTCGTAGGAACCTGCATCAACACCATCGACCCCAGCTGCTACACCGATTACACCGCCCAGGAGGAGGTCGGCGACTTCTTTGACAAGACTGTCTCGCTCTTCAAGACTCTGGACTCTTACACTGTACGTCTCTGCCCCCTCCCCGCCCGACCCATCTGATTTAAACAATCCATGGGGAATCGGAGCAGAGCTCAGAGCTAATTGGCACGAGCAGGCCCTCGCCGACGCGGGCATCACCCCTAGCTCGAGCAAGACCTACAAGCTGAGCGACATCGAGGATGCCCTTGCTGCCATCCACGACGGCTACGCCCCCTACGTCTACTGCAGCAGCAAGGAATTGTCCCAGCTCTATTACTACTTCAATGTCGCAGGCAATGCGATCGACGGAACTTATGAGGCGGCCGAGAGACGTGAGTTGAGGATCTTTCCGACAAACAGACTAAATGGAATACTGATGAGTTTCGTGTTTTCTAGTTGAGACCAGCAACTGCCCTAGCTCGGGGATCAAGTATCTGCCCAAGTCGAGCTAGATATCCTGAGTAGAGCTGGGGGATTTGTATCATCCTAGGGCTACATTGTGGAACACTGTTCGTTGAAGAAAAAGAGAGTGAGCGGGTTGGGGGTGGGGGATTGTAAAAAGCTTCGTGGGTGCTTTATTGTACATGCTACTACCTAGTGTGTCCTAAAACTGGTTGATGGAACACATGCCCGGAAAAGCTATATAGCGAGAGTCCACATCATCTATATGCGCAACTTAGGCACCCGTTGTTCCTCGTTTTGTCCATTTGTGTTTTAGACACATGTGCGTTTTGTGTAGTCTCATTGGACGGAAAGCGGCTACCAGTCGGCCGCTGGTGTTGGGGTGTTTTCGTCAAGACCATAACGGGTGCACGGCGTGCTGTGGGAGGCTGGCGACTTTATCGAACCTCATTGGCGAAGTATATACCTGGTCCAAACGAGTTCTTTTGCTTCATAAGCGAAGTGCATGGGGCCATGTTAATTTATTGACATGGTATAGTGGGTCTGAAAGGATATTCACTGCGGGCGTAGGTTTATGCGCATGCGAGATGATTAGTCCGCCAGTGTGATTCGCTTACACGCAGGTTGTAAGCGATCGTTGCATGTGAAGGTAGCCAGCCAGTCAGCCTTCCGATGCCGTAGACGGAACACTGGCAGCAACGTTGATATGAGCATCAGAGCGCGCGTGTGGGACGTGCTGATTCTGATTGGCAAAGCCCCCCGTCCATCCCGAGGATAGCGGAAGTTGCAATCTGTATGCAACGAGAAGAAGCAGGCGGCTATCCCGGTTCACAGCCCCTTCAGACGCGCATTCCGCCTCTCCTCCTCGATATTCGCACCCACGCGGTCCAGGAACTCCATGCGGCCATGGAAACCCTCCTTGGCCTTGCTGTGCACCTTGAGCTCATCCTTGAGACCCGCACTATCCACATACGCGGCCCAGTCCATCCGCGACTTCTCGACCGTATTGATCTTCGGGCCCCGGGCGTTCTCGTCCTGCCCGGTGATTTCGGCGGCAGGCTGCTTCTCCCAGCTCTTCTTGATCGCCCCGGTCGGGTTGGGGTCGAACCGCGAGACCCGACGCAGCGGTCTGCGTAGCTTGATCGCCACATCCTCGGTGGCGGTGGTGGCGGTGGCATCCTCCACCGCCGCCATCGTGATCGTCTCGACATTCGCATCGCCATTGTTGGCGAGGTACAGCTTCGCCTCGGCCGAGTCTTTCGGGACGATCTTTTCCTCCGTGACCATCTCCCCGGCGAACTTGTACGTGCGCTTGATCTTGACCATCTCCTCGGCGTATTTCGACGATTTCTGCGACTGTTTTGTCTGGGGGTCTGTTTCGGTGGAGGAGAGTTCTTGCATCTCCATGTCGTCGCCATTCTGTGTCGTTGGTGCGCCGCCGTCGTTCTTTCCGTCGCTGCCCGCGTGCAGCTCGCTGTTTTTCTCCGGTGCATTCATCATTGCCCAGAGCGCATCCACATCCACGGTCGCGCCGTCGATCTTGGCGAGGGGTTTGCGTTCGTCTTGCCTAGATGCATCCCAGCATATCGATTAGCACATTCAACAGCCTCCGAGAGGTAAAGACGGAAACATACGCGCGCATCTTCATAGCTCGCGTACGGACAAAGCCCCGCATGCCTCCCTCTTCCTCTTCCTCATCCTCGGCCTTCCGCTTCGCTTTGTCTTTGCGGATCGTAGCCTCGTCGCCGGAATCTAGCTCCGCAGTCGCAGCGGGATCTTGGACAGCCGTGGTGGTGGTCTTCCGCCGTTTCGCCTTGGGTTGTCCGTCTGCTGCTGCTGCTGCTGCTGCTGCTGCCTCGTCGTTGTCCTCCTCGTCCGACGAGGTCAGGCCGGCATCATCGTCGTTCTGGGCGGCGAAATCGTCGTCGAGTTGGAAGTCCGAGTCCGAGTCGGAGTTGTACTCATCTTCTTCGATGAGTAGATCGGCTGCCGCGGGGGTGGCTTCTGGGTCAGGCGCCATGATGGGGGTATGTCGTGGATCGAGTCAGTGAATGTGTGGGATAAAGTCCGTTCACAAGCTTCTATCGCGGAGGAGACAGAAGCATGAAAAGGTGTGGTTTTGCCGGGCGGTGAGCGATAAACACTGAGAAGGTAGATTATATAAGTATGACAGCCAATTATACTCGAAGTGTGGGGAGCCGAGGCTATCTCGTCCCTTATCGTGACGAGCCTATCGATTGAATCTCCATCATCGAGATGGGACGACTTCAAACTGTGGAGATCATGCTTGGAGCCACATGCGGTTGAGCATGACTCTCTGAGCTTTGTCAAAGAGCTCTCTCTGGCTTACTTGATCATCTCCAAGTCTCAATTCTGAACCCTACATGCAACCGAATCCCAAGAGCCGGCCATGACGAACGACGACTAATCATAATCCCTCAACCGAGGATGACATGGATCGACAGACCTAGTAGCATATAAGGACCCTTGATGTCGATATCCCATCATTATGAAAAAGCCAAGCTACTCGTATACAATTACACCCGAAAGACCAAGCAATGGCATCTCCCAACAAGCCCGTCGCCCTGATCATCGGCGCTTCGCGAGGCATAGGCCGACAAATCGCCATCGACCTCGCGAAGAACAACTACACCGGTACACTCACACTCAAGAATCCCCTCCCACCCTCCAAACCATCACCGTCCAGCTAACCCAGAGCCAAAACCCAGTAATCATCGCCGCCAAATCCACCTCCCCACCTCCCACCACCACAGATCCACAAAAGTTCCCCCCGGACCCCAACTCCCCAGCCTCAACCATCACCACCGTCGCCCAAGAGATCAACCTCCTTACCCCAAACACCGCCTACCCAATCCCCGTGGACGTGCGCTTCCCGGCCCAGATAGATGACTTGGTTGCAAAAACCCTCCGCCTGACCGGCGGCCGGCTGGACGTCGTGGTGTACAACTCGGGCGCGATCTGGTGGTCGTCCGTGGCCAACACCCCGGTCAAGCGGTTCCGGCTGATGCAGCAGGTCAACCCGGAGGGGCTGTATGCGACGGTCGCGGCGGTGCTGCCGGTGTTCGAGCGGAATGGGAACCGCGGCCGGATCGTGGTAGTCTCGCCGCCGGTGTACTCGCGGTTCTTCAGGGGGAAGACGGGGTATGCGATTGGTACGTCTCTTTCTTACCTTCTGGGGGAAGGCTAGGGTGAAGGGGAGAGAGGGCTCTGGGTTGGGGATGTTTTTAAACTGATTGGGAACAGGGAAGGTCGGGATGAGTGTGTTGACGCGCGGGCTGGCGATGGATTTTGTGAGAGAGGGGAAGACGGAGATGGCTGTTACGAGTATTTGGCCTGCTGCGGTATGGTTTCCCAGTTTTATGCAGGAAATGGGGGATGGTGCTGATGCTGTGAGAACAGGCTGTTCAATCCGCTGCTACGGAGATGAACCCCGCGGGGGATGATGAATCACGCTCGAAAGCGGACTTGAGGAAGCCGGTGAGTTGACACTATCTGCGTTTATTTATAGAATAGGATGCTGACAGATAACCACCAGACTATCTTCTCCGATGCAATCCTCGGGATCTTGAACACTCCCCCTCATATCGTCAACGGGATGCTCGCGCTGGACGAGGATTTCCTGCGCGATCACTGCGGCGTCACGGATTTCTCTAAGTACTCCGTCGTGCCGGGCACCAATCCCCGACGGATGATGCCGAAGAAGTTGCCGGTGCTGGAGGTGGAGGAGCAGGATGACGAGGGGGTGAGGATGGACAGTGCGAAGAGTGGGGGGGCTACATCTAAGTTATGATCGTTTGCTCATAGCAGACTAATTTTTTCATACTCTCACTGGATTGTGCGGGCTTGGGATTTGCAGTATTCAAGAAGCTTTGAAGCCGATATTAGCCCTACCAAATGAGAGAATAGGAAAATAAATTTTGGAAGACTACATCAGAGATATGAGGTGTGAGCACCAGACTAGCACATACAAACCTGTATCCAACGAGCATTCACTATATCCCATCCGGTCCAACAATACATACTTGCATACCCTTGATACTGTGCTGGAGGAAACCCCATTCATCATCCATTATCAACATCATTCGTCGCTCAATCGCTAACACCCAGGAGCACCCGAACACTCCCTTCCCTTCAAGTCCCCGGATACCGATCAACCTTGGTATCCACCATGCCCACCATCTCCAACGAAGGCTTCTCCATCACCCGCTGCCGCGACACATTCCGCTCCAGCCACAGCCCCGTCGTCGCGACGACGCCCATCACGATCTCCAGCCCGATCAACACCCCCAGCAACACAAACGAGGCATGGGTCACCGCGCAGTCCCGCGCGAAATGCGCAGGGACGTTACTGCTGCTGCCACTGCTACTCGAAGACGTCTTCCACTTGCACGTCCACGAATGGAGGGTCTCCGTATCGTGGAACCCGTTGCGGCCATCCGCGCCGGGGCGGTAGATCACGAACACGAACCCCACAAGGGCCGTGATGAAGCCCGAAAGGGCCGTGACTGCGGCGAGGAGGTTTAGCCGGCGGATGTGGGAGTGGGGCTGAACGTGTTGATTTGTTAGTAGGGAGTGTGTTTTACTATTGTTGACTGCTAAAGTAGGGATAGGAAGGTGGACTGACCGATGGAAGAAGCGCCGCGATGATGTAGATGAGGGTCTGAAACGCGATCACACTGCCACAGGCGAGCAGGGCCTTGGCCGGGCGCAGGTCCAGGTTCAGCGGCCACAGGTAGAGCCAGACTTGGCTGTAGCGCGAGGTCTGGCGGTAGTGGTGCAGGGCCACGGCCTCGCAGGCGATGGTCGGGATCGCCACGCAGAAGATAAGGATCGCCAGCCCCAGGCGAGCGAGGCGGAGGAGGCGAGTGCGCGTCAGGAACTTGGACTCCGCCTCGAGGGAGGCGTGGGACGTCGAGGTGAAGGACGCGGCCACGGTGGAGGATGCTGAGTCCATGGCTTAAAGCTGGGAAAGATTGGAGAGCAGATTTGATGCAGCAGAAACACGAAGCGAGAGAAGGCACGGCTCTTTCAGTGAGGGTCAAATGTCAAACAGCAACGTAAAGTGAACGTGAATTCGTCAAGCAGAAGTCGGTCTTGCCAGCAAGCCGGTCAGGCTCATCACCAAAAAGAAATCAAAAAAAGAAAGAAGGAGATGATACTTGAGCAGCAAGAACAGAGTCAGATGCCTGAGGACAGTGGGTATTTATTCCCCTGTTGCGACGCGAGAAAGCGTTTGGCTGTAGCTGCGACGAGTTTAAGTTGCCAAAAATAAATGCAGCAGACCCTGAGTGCCCACCCTTTGCGGGCTGCAGGAGCGGCCATCAGAGGCTGTTAGCCGCCCAGCAGGATTCTGAGCAGTTCATTTGCTCGTCGCTGCCCTCTGTTCCCCTGAAGAATCGTTCTTCAAACAAGCACCATGCACTCCTGTCCTTCCCGGGCGCTTAGGGAGCGGTCGGTGCAACCTCACCACCACGAATCGGGAGCGCGAAGTGCGGGAAAAGGCGTGCTTGCTATGCACAGCGCTCTTTCTATCTGTTGCTCGTGGCGGACAGAGAATGGTGAATTGTTTCAATTTCTCGAGGACTGTGCTCGTGAAGGATCAAGCTGATATCCTCCATGCTTGGTGGATATCGGCAGTAGAATGGCGGGCCCCCGGTTTGCCTGCAAGAGAATGTGAGCTTGTTGTCCGAGCGCAGTCTCCACGGCAGCAGAAGCACTCACCTGGCCAGGTGCCTCCTACAGGTGGCCATGACGAGCTACATGGCGAAAGGAAGTTTAGAACAAGTGAGGATTGCAATATGCTGACCGGTTGAAGAGTGTCATTTCAGCGAGCCGGAACATGTACGGAGTACATGTCATACACGTGATAGCCAAAATAGGTATGGCACGCTGCGAAAGGGGATCCTTTTTGGCTTGTTAGGTTGGAAAAGGAGACTATGACAGGTGATCTGAGTGACCACAGTCCTTAGGTAGGTACTAGGTAGGTAAGGTTCTCGAACGAAATAACTCACCCTTGCATCATCTTTTCTGTTGGATAGCATCTCGTCGCCAGCGGTTCGGATTACTGACTACTCCATGTTACCAAATACAACCACAACGACCACAACAACCCGTCGTCTGCTTCGTGGTGAGATCACCTACTCTGCAGCCAAGGAACTTGAAACCAATGTACTGCACTCGTTGAGCTATTGGGACCAGCAGAGTAGCTATTTCGAAGACTTGCGCCGAAAGAGCCAGCTTCTTGAAACTGTGGTCGCACACCATCTCAATTTGGTTCCGACGAGCTGCCGCATCGCCGAACCAAGCGAATGGCTCTCTGGGACCTTCAATGTTTGCATCCCAATCTATTATGGAAACAATAGACAGCATCCCGGCTTCCTACTTCGCTTGCCGCTGCCACACAGGGTTGGGGAGAACGTCAACCCTGGGAACGCTGATGAGAAAATCCTATGTGAAGTTGGTACCTACGCCTGGCTCCAGCTCAACTGCCCAGGAGTCCCCATTCCGCAACTACATCGATACGGGTTATCCACCGGCCAGAAGGTTGGTGCACATCCTCTTCTTATCGGGCTAGCTTCTGCTAAGAATTAGTTTACTGCTCTCGAAACCCTGCCTTTCTTGACTCGTTCGTTCGAAGTCGTCCGCCGCCATATTCTAAGCTTTTTGGGATTCCCAGTCCCATCTAAATATGTGGCTCACAGCAGCAAATCTACAGATCTCCTAGGAGTCGGATATCTCTTGATTGACTACCTTGATGTGTCAAGGGGTAGGATGCTGTCCGCGTCATGGAACCAAGGACGGCATGATCCTAGATTACGGATGAACCTTTTCCGCAGCTTGTCTGATATCATGTTGGCCATTACACGTACTCCTCTACCCAAAATTGGTTCTTTCATCGTGGATGAGAAGGGTTACTTAAGACTCAGGAACAGACCTCTCACTCTTGAGATTCAAGACCTGGAGAATCAGCATGTTCCGGTCGATATTCCGCGCGACTTTACGTATTCCACCGTTGACTCCTATGTTAATGACATCCTTGCCTGTCACGAGAGTCGCCTCCGTCACCAACAGAATGCGGTCAAGGATTTCCAAGACGCCTTGTTCCAAATGGCTGCTCTCACAGTGATGAGGGCTATTCGAAACTTATTCTTCCGTCCCAATCTGCGCCGAGCGCCGTTTTACATGAGCTTGACGGATCTCCATCAAAGCAACATCTTTGTCGATGATGACTGGAATATCACATACCTTGTTGACCTTGAATGGGCTTGTTCTCGCCCAGCAGAAATGATTCATCCGCCGTATTGGTTGACTAACCAATCTGTCGATGCGATTGATATTGACGCATACGAAAGCCTTCACAGGGAGTTCATGCAGGCTTTTGCGCAACAATTATCGAAGCGCTCATGGCAACACGGGAACCAGATCTATTCTATACTTCAAGAAGGCTGGAACAAAGGCACGTACTGGTATGCTCTTGCTCTCGACAGCCCCACTGGACTATTTAGAATCTTCTACGACCACATCCAGCCACGATTCTCGAAGGATCATATAGACGATGCAGCATTTTTCAAGATCACTATGGACTACTGGGCATTCAATGCAGCGAGGTTCATTCAGGAAAAGGTGAAAGATAAGGAGAAATACGATCGGCTGTTGCTCGAAGCTTTCAAACAGGCTCCAACAGACCAGATGCCTATGCATGAATGATCACGGCTATCTTGAACCTGCTTTCCCTTGCTGCTTCATACGTCACCTCCGCTGCCACTTCGATCAATTTCACGAGCTTGCAGATCTCTTGTTGCGGACTCGAGAGAGGCCAGCGCATTTCTGATTCGTCTCTGTTGGGCACTTCTACCTGATGAAGAAAGCTGATTCAGAGTTGGGGAATCCCCTTTGACGCCCACTTGCGCCTCTTCGATTGTAGCTTCATAAGACGAATCCGACCGACGATCTGTCATCTTGAAAGCTCGAAGGAGAGTTAACATGAATCTTCTTCTCGTTCTGTACCATGACTATGAGGCCTACTTTGAGACGGTGTGAGTATTTGTACTAAAGCAGATGGGTTAGGGTGTTTGGATGCCTAGCTTGGGCGGGGAACGAAGCAAGAGCAATATTCTCAGGTTGGAGTAAAAGCTGCACGTGAGATATACCACGAGCTTATCTGAGAAGCCAGTTAGAATGACTCTCGATGCATCAGCTGGCGCTAATGCATGTGCCAGGTGTAAAGAGGGGTTGCTGCTTCGACCTATACGGAGTACAAAACAAGCCACTTTGAACTCCCTCATTTCAGTCTGCCTTCATCCGCAACGGAGTCGGCCCACTACACGTTGCAGACATCGTGCGGATACATTATACAATTATCAGTTGTTGGATCTACAAATGAAACCGCAAGCTCGGTGTTATCAGCTAGGAATAGGCTCCTACTCATCTTCACGACGTTTGGCAAAGGAAGAAGCTTAGAGAGTCTACTAGCTTGTCTTTACAATAACAACACTCTGGAAAGACCAAACCCAGAAATCGAATCTCTCATGAGCCGAAATATGACACAGAAGTGGTGAGGCATATCGAACAATCCGTAAGTTCTAGAGATGTGGAGAGGGAATACATCCTGTGCCATTGGTTTCGGATTCGTCGGTTTGAAATGGCAAGCCAGATAGCATTCGCTTTGGACTATCGATCGAGCTACACTTGAACATGCCCATGTCGAAGCCCTCCCAGTTTTGAGTGTTCGAGTTATCGGATGCAGACACTCGTGCTTCCATGTCACGAGTGATCATTTAAGCGCCCACAATTAGCCCCTAGGCGTTGGTGGACGCGGGGTGGCCTAGTGAGGGATAGAACTTCCCATTTTTGCTGGCACAACCGGAGCACGATTACACGTAGGGCCATCGGGATGCTTCTCAGAGAAGGAGCAGATGACAATTGCGGTGGAAAGACCAAGGTATGGAGCGGTTTATAGCTACATCATGCCCGGGGGAGCTAGCCATTTGGTGGAGAGATCTGTTTCAAAACACTATGCTTCCTCGCCCTTCTCTGGTTCGGACTACCACATAGACATCAGCATCGAGTTATCGATAATCCTTTCGTGTGGTTCTAACTTGTTTTAAGTCTAACGCACTGGTGCACGCACTTGACGAAGATTTCAACCCCTTTGGTATAAGTCAAGCTTTGGGCAGTCTCTATCATGTGCTCAGTCCACACTCCAAGATGCTGCACGTTCATCTTTCCGCCAAGGACCGCCTTGGGAGCACTCAGTGGACAGACTACTTGTCGCCTCGCATCTTTCGCTGATTGGCAATACTAGCTCACTGCCACCACAGTACCGCAGTATATTTCCTCATTGTCGATGACTAGAAGCCAGCACAATGACTACAGGAAAGCTACCAGTTGATACATGCCCCCGTTCAATCTTCCCATCTATTCCCTCTAGGTGGACTTTCCAGGCATGTTGACGGCATTCTAGTTCATTTCTCCGTCGCTTCGGACAATTCTCGATATGGGCCGGACGTTTCTGTCCAATGCCTATTCTTCCTCTAAACGATCATACGCGTCTATTCCAGGATTAATGGCTTGTCTAGACCTTACTCCTGTCCCAACCCTTGACGACCACGCGGCCTGTAACCCGCCTTATGGCATCGTCCTTTGTTCGCACGCAAGCGATCAGACATGTCCAGAGCTCAAGACTTACGTCCCACAGGATATTCCGTACTTGCATACTCCTCCCCGCTTTCGCGTAGTCCTGAAACCCATCGGTGTCAGGCCGAGGAGGCGCCCTCTGGTGCAATCAATTGGCCCAATTTGATCCCGTGCCTCCCTGATACCGTGCCAAATCACCCCTAACATCCGCCACCCGGGTCCCTTTGAGTGTATTCGTGGGATCGGCGCCGCCGTCCCTCAACCTCAAGGGCTGAGATCCCGTACTTGATCGAAGCGGGATTTGTCCCCATTAGGATACCAGACCAGGTGCCGCAACTCACAAGTGCGCTTCCCAGATCCCCGACCTTCAGTCATGTGGTCCGCGCGCCAAGAGCAGATTCGGTTTGCACTACTATGGAAATCGTCACGGACGTTGACGTATTGTCGCTTTGAGGACTGGTGGCCACATCCCAAAATCCAGGGCTGGCATTGCGCAACACAAGCTCAGTGGCACACCAAGCCCGGTGCCTAGGGACAGGCCAGTCCTCCGCCATCCTGCCCAGACGGCGGACTATTCTCCGTGTGTCGGCCTAATGCTGGGCTACTGCCACTACCTCAATAGTTCTAGGGTTGAGGGCAGACAACGGCGGTGATTGATAAACGGCGGATAAAGATGTAGCCGGGACCCCATCTAGAGCGCAGATCTTCACACTCGTCAGACTAAAGACAGCCAATCACACCCTGATCAAAACTAATAACACGCGTCGTCCGGGCAAGTGATATCGCTAGGATGTTTCTTGGTGGTTCTTGGCAGGTGAGCTTCATTGCAGGGTCCCCACGGCCTTTTGTCTTGGCATGTGGGAGGGACTCGTCATCAGTCATTGCGCCGAGTATATTGCATCAAATCTAGCGACTTCCTCGGAGAGGTCACCAATCAATACCAAAACAAGCAGCAGGGGTGCATACGCCTTCATCCCGCTGGTTGTCTTTTGTTAGAGACTTGTGCAAGCTCTGGGTATAGTGTCGCTTTGATCAAGGAATTGATTCCGCATAGCGATTGCGATGTAGCCAGACGGGATGATGAAGCTGGACTGCAGCAAGCTCTTTATTTGAACCTCACTATGGCGATAAACCCTATATAAGAGGTGTGCAAGCCGGTGCAGAAGATGAGATGACAAGCAGCAACTCTCACTCCATCAGTGACGACTTCCTCCTCCTCGTCTTTTAGGCATAGTCCTTTCGTCTCTGGCCTCCTCGCTTTTTTTTTTCGATATCTCCAAATGCATTTCAAGAACATTGCCAACTTGGCCATTGTTGGAGGTGCGGTCCTCGCTACCGCCCATCCTGGCCACGAAGAGAAGCGTGCTGCTTCCGAGCTCCTGGAATTCAAAGCCAATATGCGTCGCGGGCTCGAGAAGTGCGCCGCTCGATTCGAAAGCAGTGGATTGAACGCCCGTGCAGAGGCTCGTCGTAGAGCCCTGGTTGACTCGCACCGCAAGCGTCTCGCTGCGCGGGATACCTCCTCGGTTCTCGCCACCAACCACAACGAGACCGGCAATGGCATCACTGCCGACTCATCCGAGAGCGAGATCTTTGGCAGTAGCAGCAGCTGCGTCCTCAACCCCGAGGGCGAGACGGGCCCGTACTACGTTCCAGGCGAGTACGTCCGCGCGGACCTCCGCGAGAGCCAGCCTGGTGTGCCTGTGACCATCGAGGGCCAGTTTGTCGACGTCGAGACCTGTGAGCCCATCACCGACCTGTACTGGGACATCTGGAACTGCAACGCCACAGGCGTCTACTCCGGCCTCGTCGCCACTGGCAACGGCAACACTGCCGACACCTCCAACCTCAACGCGACCTTCCTGCGGGGTATCCAGAAGACCGACTCTGATGGCGTCGTCACCTTCAACACCCTCTTCCCGGGTCACTACTCCGGCCGCACCACCCACCACCACATGGTGGCTCACCTGGATGTGACCGTCCAGGAGAACAACACGATCACCGGAGGCACTGTGGCCCATATCGGACAGATCTTCTGGGATCAGGACCTGATCAACGCGGTGGAAGCCACATCCCCGTACAGCGAGAACACGGTCACCCTGACTACCAACGCGGAGGACCGGGTCTTTTCCGACGAGACGGAGAACTCCACCTCGGACCCGGTGTTGAACTATGTCTATATTGGTGACGACTTGAGCGATGGGCTTTTCGGATGGATCACCATCGCCGTCAACGTCTCCGCCACCTATGACCCCAACTACAGCTTCATCTATACCTCCAGCGGTGGCGAGGCTGTCGATGACAGCTCATCCTCAACTGGCGGAAGCTCGCCCGGCGGTGGCCAGTCCAGCGGCTCCGGTGGACCGGGTGGAAGCGGCCAGCCTGGTGGCTTCTGAAGCTCACCCCGCTGGGTTTACCCTTGATCTCGCAAGAGAGAAAAGATAAAAACAAACTTTTTCGTTGTCTGTTGCTGTGCGCTCTGCTTTTTTGTTCTTGTCCAACAACAATCGTTCCAGCTTGATCTGCTCGTTTCCAATCTGTTGATCTGTGCTAGTTAGTTATTATTCTTGAAGTATAGTTCACTCGTGTTAAGAAATAAGATGCAGTACTCCTTTTGAGTGGCTACTCAATCTGACCCAACTAGCCCTAGTATTGGACCATTATCCCCGGTACACTGTACCTACTGCAGTATAGCAAACACAAAAAATAGCCCACCGTACCGTAGGTAGGTTACGGCAATGTTCACCCCGAAACCGGAGCACCACCCGCTGACATCACCAACTAACCACCACCCACTCCCTTATCAGCCAACCAATCAAACCCCAGGCGGTCACTCACCCCACACGCGGCGCGCTCTCGGATAAATTTTGGCGGGGAAAAATAAGGGCGGGATTGTCCTGGCAGCAAATCAATTGAGATTCTTTTTTCCTCCCCCTTGCAGGTGCATGAATTGGAAGTTTCGTTCCCGGACCGTCTGTTCATGCTTCGCCCGCGCATCGCCAATCCTCGATTGATTGGATCGGCTTCGTCTTCTGGCATCTGCGTCCCCAAACGATACTATCAGTCCGCCGCCATGCCCCTCTCCAAGCTGCAGGGCGTGAAGCTCCCCGCCTCGGCGGATTTCCACGGTGCGTTCGTTCGTTGCTAAGTACTCTTTGCTACTTTGGATACCCCGCATGCTGGACTGTGTATACTTTTGGGATACCGCATGGACGGTCTCAATTGGGTTGGGCATGGGAGGGGATGGGATGTATAGTACATAGGCTAATGGGTTAGGACGAGTGGGGATCCAGTCCACCTGCGCGATGGCGATATGATGAAGCTTGTGACGCCTACGATCCGACAGGGAGGTGTGAATACTGTTTTTGTTATGGTAAACCTACCTACCCTCCTGTGTCCCCTACCCTGTTCATTGTTTGGTGTGTATGGAATGGTATTTCGAGAATAGGATTTATCACCTGAGACCTATCATTCAACCTAATCTTCTTGCTCATCCTGTTGCCTCCAGCCGAATCTAGTCCCCCCCGTCACGACCGTGGACCGGGCCCTCGAGTATAAGAAGAGTCTGGAAGCGATCGAGCCCAACGTCAACTACCTCATGAGCCTGTACCTGCACGAGACGGTGACGCCCGAGACGATCATCGAGGCCAAGCAGCGCGGCATCACGGGCGTCAAGAGCTACCCGGCGGGCGTGACGACCAACTCCTCCTCCGGCGTGGTCGACTACACGCAGTTCTACCCGGTGTTCGAGGAGATGGAGCGCCAGGATATGGTGCTCAACCTGCACGGCGAGGTGCCCTCCAAGGGGGACGTGACTGTCCTCACCGCCGAGGAGCGGTTCCTCCCAACCCTGCTGCAGCTGCATGAGCGCTTCCCCAAGCTGCGGATCATCCTGGAGCACTGCACCACTGCCGCCGCGGTGGAGGCCGTGAAGAAGTGTGGGCCGACGGTGGCGGGAACAAGTGAGGATTGAGACCCTCATCCCTTTTATAAGCTGGGAGAGAGAATGTCGGGCTGACTGCCTCGGTGACAAAATATAGTTACGGCCCATCACTTGTCTATCATCATCGACCACTGGGCTGGAGATCCGTTCTGCTTCTGCAAGCCCGTCGCCAAGACCCCCGCGGACCGGGACGCGCTGCTGAGAGCGGCTGCCTCCGGCAACCCCAAGTTCTTCTTCGGCTCCGATAGCGCCCCCCACCCCGCCGTGTCCAAGAGAGGCGGCGACAAGATCGCGGCCGGTGTCTTCACCCAGCCCTTCACTACCCAGCTCGTGATCGACGCGTTCGAGCAGGCCTGCCAGAGCGGCGTCCTCAAGGAGGAGGACATCACGCCCGAGATCCTCGAAGGGTTCATGAGCAAGTATGGCCGCCAGTTCTATGGCATCGGCGAGGAGCAGAAGGAGTTCATTGTCATCGAGAAGAAGGATGAGAAGATCCCGAACATCCTGCAATCGGACAAGGTGGATGTTGTGCCTTTCCGGAGGGATCAGCAGACGTGGAGCGTCACCTGGTCGTCATAGTTATTCTGCCTCGCCATCAGTTGCGCAAGTTTTAAGTGACTACCCCTCGAATAAAACGTGCATCACTGGGAAGACTTGCTGCTTTGTTCGTTTTTCATCTCCACTAGGCGGATTTGTTTTGACCCTCCGCAAGTAGCCCCATGACAGACTCCAGCGCCTGCGCTTCTGCAATGTCGACTCTGCGGCCCGTAAGCACCGGGTTCACTTCATTCCCCGCAGCCAGCTGCCCGGAGCGTTCCAGGTGCAACCTGACTCTGCTCTCAATGTATTCGCGTCTCGCGTCGGCCTTGGAGTCTACCTCCATCTGATTCTCTGACTGCTGCAGCGTAGCCAACTTGGGCCGGAGCTCTTTAATTAGCGCCTGCAGCGCGGGCAGTTGCGACAGGATAAACGTAGTATTCGTGGTGATGGGCGTGTGCTGCGTATTGGGCCCGGCCACAGCCCCGACGCGCAACTGGCGCGCCGCAGCGCTCGACGTCAGGAACGACAGGTCCAGATCTTTCGTCGTGTTTGCTGTTGCTGATGGTGCCGCCTCGTCGCCCGCTTTCGTAGTATCCGGTTTCGGTCCATTAGTCGACAAAATCTGCCGTAACTGCGCAATGACTGCCTCGTTCTGGGCGCTCTCCTGCTTCAGAGCCCGATTCAACTTCTTGGTCTCGAGGAGCTTCTTTCGCTGTGCGGCGATCGTGTCCGGCGTGGGCGCATCCTCCGGCGGATGCAGGTCGATATTCTATTTTTATTTCATTTCAAACATTAGCAATGACAGTGAAGTGATACTCCAGACGAACGGAGAGTAAAACTCCTACCTCATAATGCTTCAACCGGATCCAACCCATAAGGTCCTCGGGGACCTTGAACGTGTTCCGCAGGACAAACAGCTCGAACTTATCGAACGTCTTGTCGACGGTCGCCTCCAAGAGCGTTTCCAGCTGGTGCAGGCCATTCTCAATCTCGAGCTGCGCTTCCGGGTAGATCACGTTGCCATCCTCGTCGGTGTCCGGGATCGTGGACTCGTTGGCGGCGTGCGCAAACCCGAGGCGTTCGGGCGGGGTGTTGAGGAGGCCCGTTTCGAGGCTGGAGATGGCTTGGTAGATGAGATTGTTGATCGAGTTGATTATGTCGTCGATGAGGGACTGGATTGGTGGAGGGGTGTGAGGTCAGCGATGGGTTTGATGCGGGTGGGATGGAGGTTTTGGTGGTGCGCGCGCGCGTATCGCAATACGAAATGCTGCAGATGGGGGTGTTTTTGCGGGGTGGGGATGAAGGGATCCTCTGCTTACTAGAGGGGTGTAGCTGAAATGCTCGGTGAGCAAGGAGGTGGTGGCGTCTGTCATGGTTGGCAGGTAGGCGCACTATCTGCTGCGAGGGTGGAGGAAAGAGAGATGTTGATGATGGGTTGTGTCTTGGTTTCTTGCGGGTGGACGCGTCAGGCGCGGCGCGCGCAAGATGCGGCGGAGAGGTGCGGGTGGAGGAACAGCGGGCTCAACTACTTCTACTCTACCTCTTGTCTACACGGGAAGACCTTTTTCAGGGCCTCACTGCGATGAGATTGGATGAGAGATGGTCTCGGACATGATACTGAGACTATCCTTGCCATCCACAAATTCTGATTTCAAGTTGAATAGTATTGAGTGACCTGTTTCTCAAGCGCGTCAAGGGCTAATCGAATCGGGCAGCCGGGGGCTCCAACTCCCTATCGGGGGCCAACATCTTCAATCTCCATCGATACAGTTGGAGATCAGGTTCGCACATTCCAGCCAGGCTCTCTCTATTCTTTCCAATGTTTCCTGACCCCTTTGCCAATATCGTGGTACCGTGCCGTGAGTCATGTAGCATTTACTCGTGCCGTCAGCTGCTCCGCCACCAACGGTTTGAGTCACCAGTACGAAGAACCGAGCCAGCCATAGGCTCCAAGTGAAACCAAGAAATCCCTTGAATTTGCGGCCCTAAATCATGGCGTATCACTAACTCCGTCCTTCACTGCTGACTGACAGTTCGCCTCCAGCTAACCAGCTAACGTGAGATTTGTATGCCGCCTGAAGGCTGCCTAGACAGGATTCAGATCCCATCGTCATCAACATCCATACTCATCATTAAAAAACCAGCTTCCGCTGTCGTAACCGTACCAGTCAGATCAGTACTCTAATACAAACCTCTTTCGTCCTTAGAAGCTGTACATATATGCAGTTAATCATGGCTCTTCCAGCTCCCGAGCAAATCTCACACGTCCTTCCTACTATGGACATTCCACCTTCATTGCCTTCTCTGTCGGAAAAAAGAAGTAGTTCATCTCGACGAAGCTCTCCAGAGAGAGTCGCAACCCTCATCCTCCAAGAGAAGCCCATTCACGCCCGCCAAATCCCCAAGAAACCCGCGACGGTGGAGAATCGATTACGCCCTGCTGCAGGTACGTCCCATGTGAACCGAGTCCATCATCCGATGGGCAAAGTCATACTGATGCTTTAAGATGAAGATGTCATCAATCGCTTAATTTGGGATCCGGATTACGACAGCGATGATTTCGTGATTGTGTATGAGGACCGGTTCGAAGGACGCCTTGAAGCCAGCTTCAATACGTGGAAGCGCGAGACGACGCACGATGAGTTCATCCCCCAACATCGGATCCTCCATATCAAGCGTCGGTCAGATGGAGAGATTGTTTGGGATAGAAGGAGGAGGATTGATAAGGTCTTCTGTAGTGGGAACTCGGCCTTTGACTATCTGGGCTTTCTTAGTTGAATGGAATAGCTTGTCGGATTACACAGAAATATCCCAAAGTCGATGTAAGGAAGCCACCTTCCCTCTTCGCGTGTGCTTCATAGCTCCTTCCATACTAGGACGAGTAGCCCGGGCTTCGTAGAGTATCTGCATTGGCATCCTGCAGCATAATTCAACCTCCTGTTTACTCGTGCGTACTTGTGCAAGGTCATCCATCAATAGTCAGACTCAAGGACGGTTTGTCGGTTCACTTGGGCTGATAATCTTATCCTGCAGCACAATGACTCCAAGACGTCGTCGATTCGAGTTCTCCTTCCGCAAGAGACACAGCGGTCCCTCTACGTCCTCTTCGAGTACCTCCCCCACGGTTCCTGTGCTCCAATCGCCCATGGCATTCCAAGCGCTTGGTGCGAGAACCATCTCCGAGGCGACCTTGAAGCAGAAGAATAAGCTGGATAGGGCGCCTGTCAGGCCTTCCATGTTCCTCGAGGAGAAGGACGACGATGAACATCCGATGTATCCCATCAAGCCCGGTGCGCCTGCCGATGTGAAGCCGACTCATCTCGAACGGAAGAGTATCGAAGGAGAGTCTGTGCTGCGTCCCAAAAGTCAATACTTTGAGGAGATGTTCAACATCAGGGGTCTGGTGACCTCCCCGAGGACTCGGATTACTCACGAATCCGTGACTGTCGTTGAGGTCAAGATCAATACCAGGGTAAGCATTCGACTGGTCCTTGTTGCTTTGCCGGAGGATATGGTAGTCGAATATGGACTGGAGACTGATATCAACCTCAGGTCAAGGACGATGACACACTGGCGTCGACGATCTCAACCAAGATGGCACAGATTCTTGAAAAGCCCGAGGTCTTCATCATGACCACAATTCAGCAAGATGCTTGTGTTTACTTCGGGAACTCAAACACACCGGCGTACCTGATGAAGGTGTTTGCATTGCCGTTTCTCATAGCGCCTATTATGAATCTCCGCAGCACCATCTTGATTCAGATTGAGCTCCAGAAGATCCTAAACATCGCGCCGAACCGCGGCATCATCTTATACATTCCGATGCCGGAAGAGAACCTCGCAACCAATGGAGTGACTGTGATGGGTCAGCTGGCAAACCTGGAGCGTGGCACGGGGATTTTTAGAACTATCTCTCGAACTGTGAGCCGAAAGTTGAAATCCGGTAGCACCCAGAGTGCTCCGATCTCCGTGGCCACAACATCCTCGTGGAATTTCAGTGATAAGAAGTCGCCAGCATCAATGACCGAGAATCAGTCTCACGAGAGCGAGGGCTCTAAAGAGAGGAAGAAGTTCAAGTTCAAGTCCAGGTCCAGGTCCAGGTCAACCACTAAGGCGAGAAGCTCTCTTTCTTCTGTAGTCCGTGAGGATGCAGATCAACCTGAACCAGTGGACAATGGTAATGACCAGCGGTGAATGCAGTCGTTGGCTTGGCTCTTTGTCTGTATTGATTTTCAGATTGGCACTGTGATTTTCTTGTGGTTCTGTCTTGGTTTGGCTGTCTTTCCTTTCTGTTTGTAGTTCTGCTGTACTGAGTGGGGTCCAATATCAAACCCGTTTCTTCCTCTCTTTTAGCTCATTCTACCTTAACTCTCAATGACTTTCCTTTCACTACCAACCTTGTCCTTCCAATCTTAGTTTATGATAACTCTCATTCGTAAATTCTAACGATCCAACTACGCGACATGGAACCAGAATATGGCCAAGGACGGATCCTGGAAATAGAAGGCAATCTATTCAATGCTCCCGATGGAGCGGCACTGATTCGTAAGTCGTGCTCCTGGGAGTAAAGTATCTGATCCTGATGAATCTAGACTCTTGCAACTGTCAAGGCGCTTGGGGCAAGGGAATTGCTAAACAGTTCCGAGACAAAGTATGCTCCCAAGCCTCCCATCTCACCCTGGCCAAGTCACTGACATGACTCCATCACCTCCAGTATCCCAATGCCTACTTCGCCTACCGTACCCACTGTCAAGACTACAATGCGCTCAACACCGAAGTGGTCGTCACAGGCGAGGCCGGTCCGCGCAGAGTCCGCTTGCCCGAAGGCACTGCCCTCATCATTCCGCCGCAGCACGGCGACTACGAGCCCAGCGGCGGACATCAGCACTGGATCGTCTGTCTCTTTACCTCCTTCAGCTATGGGACCGCCACCTCGCCCGTCGACATTCTGCTGGGAAACACCGAGCTTGCGGTCGCAGATCTGAAGAAACAGCTCGAGAAACTCCGTGCCGAGGGGATCGACTTGGGAAGGCTCTGGTCGTGTCGGTTCAACTCGGGCTTGTTCGGGGTGGACTAGGCGCATTCGAGGGATATTCTGGTGAGATCCGGGCTGAAGGTTACTGTTGTCAGTCCGCCTCGGTCGTGATGGGGTGTCTATCATGGGTTTCATAGCGATTGTCGATGGTAGATATGGCACTGGATCTTAGCTTTGTCACTTAGCTGATGGTTGCATGGGGTAGGTGGAATCAGAGGATTTTGAGACGGCTCGGGACCATGCTTTGTGGCGAGGAGAATCAGGCTCTGTATTCGAATTTTTGCTGCTGATGAGCTGGCCGGTGTCCTCGAGGGTTATCTCTTCGAAGTTGTTTACTCTTCTCGAACTATGTCAACATGTAATGACCTAATTCTGGAATGATTGCCTTGTTAGGGACCTCATAGGTTTATTCGTAAGCCCAAATCAGACACTCTCCAAGTAATTCATCTTGCCGTGTACATGGAGAGCATACCGTGGAGTCGTGGTTCATTCTGTGAATCAAATGTCACTATCTGTCTGCAGTCGAATGTGCATCATAGTTATCGACCGGAAAGGGAAATATGTATCAAGAGTGGCGGCAGATCAGTAGTAAGACCAAATCAGCTATGAAATGCAATTCGCAAATAGATACTTGTAGACTTCTAATGCAACTCTGAAGAACATGACCTTTCGAAAAATTCTGAGGATTAACGTCTAGTAAAGCCTGCCATTCCGAACAGAAGTGATCGTGATAGTATCACATGACCTCGCGTTTAGTTCCGCGACGCACGTGTTCCGCAACGACACTCCGCATCTCAACCACCACTACTAGAACAAACCACCTTCAAAAATAAGCTGACGAGTAAACAAAGGTTAGCTGGCGCTACTTTGACATCAACACCGTCAACAAGATGCCACCCGAGACACAGCCTACACAGAAACGGCGCAGACTGCCGTTCAAATCTCCAAGCCGGGCCTCCGCATCCGCCCCAGCCCCAGCAGCAGCAACATCGTCATCATCATCCAAGCCCAGATCCAAAGCCACCACCACAGCATCCTCGAATTCCACTAAACCCAACCCAACACGCAAGAACACCACCACAGCATCCTCCTCCAGAACCCGCCAACCCACCACCTCCAAGCCTACCAAAAAAGCCACCCTCCCCCCACCTCCTCCCTCCGACACAGAACCCTCCGCCTCCGACGCAGAAGCGAACCCCTCCAACCCGCGAAACAAACGGCGAAGAACATCCCCCACCCGCTCGAACTCAACCTCCCCGACGCCTTCCGCGTCTGCCTCCCAAACCTCCACCACCTCCAACAATAACCACAACAATGACACCAATACCCCGGCCTCCCCCTCCCCGGAACCCGAACCCGACTACATCCTCGCGGAGATCACGCACACCACCGACCCCGCCGACGACATCGTCACGCGCGAGCCCGTCATCCCCGCCAAGCTGCTGACGCGGCTGCTGCACCACCACTTCCAGCACCCGAAGACCAAGATGGCCAAGGACGCCAACACGGTCGTCGCCAAGTACGTGGATGTGTTTGTGCGGGAGGCGCTGGCGCGGGCCGCGTTCGAGCGCCGCGAGGCCGTCGGCGAGGGCGCTAGTGTTGGAGATGGGTTTCTGGAGGTTTGTTTGTCCCGCTTTCTTTCTTCAGCTTCACGTGCTGAGCTGGGGCTTTCGGTAAGGGTGTATGCTAATGAGTTTGTGTAGGTTGAGGATCTCGAGAAGTTGGCGCCGCAGCTTGTTATGGATTTTTAGTGGAATTTCGGTAAGGATGGAGTTTAGGGGTTGGTTTGGGGTTCTACGGGCTTGTGATGCGAGATACCTGATTTTGTTTGATATCCTTCTGTTGTAGAGAACCTTGGGACTAGCGAAGAACTCTTTATATACTCTGGTCTATCGACTGTTAACCTCTAGACGATCTAAAACAAAAAGAAAAATATAGAAACACGATAAGCTATGCCCGAGGTGGGTATAAATGCTGTGACTTGCCCCCAGTACTCCAGAAAACAACAACAAAATCACGTCAAATCATTTCTCAACCGCTCACCAGAGGATCGGGCGTAGCCATGGCTGACACCGTTTTCGAATCCCCCGAAGGAGTGGCAGACCCCTCGGCAACGGGGGTGGCTGGCGCCTCGACGGCGCCGTCCGTCGTGCCGTTGGGCTGCTTCTTCTTGGTGGTCACAGACCCCTTGGCGGTAAGAGCCCCAAGCTCGACGGCCTCCTCGGGCAGTGGCCGGATATGCGGTTGGCAGACCCAGAAGGGCCGGCCGTATTCCGCGATCGTCGCCTTGGACCCCGTCAGCTTCTCGTCGGGGGACCGCTCGAAGCGCTCGGGGAACTCCTCGTATTCCTGAAGGCCCTTCTTGACGGCCTTCTCGACGAGCGTCAGAACGTGCTCGAACGCGGCCATGTCGCCGGGGCGTGATCGGGCCAGAGCGTCGCGGACGTCGGTGTGCACGGAGACCATGGGACGGAGAAGCTGGAAGAGGTGGCCCTGCATCACCCCCAGACTGGGGGAGGCCGCCCGCTTGCCCTTCTCGCGCTTCTGCTTCTTCTTGGGTGGGCCATCCTCGTCCTCGGCCTCCAAATCCTGCGCGGGTTCTTCCTCCACGAGGTCGGACGGTAGATACAGCGGCTTCCGCTCCGGGACCGGTTGCTCCAGGACGTACTTGTAGAGCACATCCAGATACCGGCGCAGCATGGCGTCGATGCGATATCCGCCCTTCCCATCCCGGCCGCGCCAGTAATCCCTGCCTTCGCTGCCGACGGGGGGCGGCTTGCTGAATATTGACGGATCGGACAGATTACCCTCGGCGCTCATCACGGCATCGGCCCCGGTGGCTTCCAGACAGCGGTCCAGGTCGTCGTAGTTCAGATTGTTGCCGTTGGCGAAGATGACCGTCTCCGGGGGCAGGTTGTCACGCAGGTAGCGGATGTAGCTCCAGTCCGCCACGCCGGTGTTGTGGCCCTTCTGCTCCCTGCGGCGTCCGTGCACGGCGATGATGCTCGCGCCGGCGGACAGGATCATCTTCGCATACTCCAGCGTCTTCTCCTTGGTCTCCTGGATGCGGAACTTGGCGGTGACCGGGATGGGGAGCTCGGTGTGCAGGCGGTTGATCAGCTTGTAGATCAAGTCCCAGTCCTCCTGGAGAAACGCCCCGTAGTGGCCCCGCTTCGCGATCCCCTGGGGACATCCGAGGTTCAGATCCACCGCGTCGCAGTACGGCGCCACATGGCGGGCCGCCTCGAGGAAGTCATCCGGGTCGTTGGCGCAGAACTGCACGAAGAGCGGCCGGTCGATGGCCGGGTTGCCGTCGAGGAAGAGGGACTCGTCGCCCTCCTTGCCGGCGGCGGCGCGGGTCGGGTGGAAGTGCTGCGCGCGCACGTTGGGCTGTTCGCGGAAGAGGCGGGCGTGATACATGGGGGAATAGGCGAGGATCTGCTTCTGCTCCTCTGCGGGCAAGAAGGACCTGGTGAGCATGCGCCATGCCTTGCAGCAACCATGTTAGCTTTCGATTATGGGCGAACGAGGCCGTCGAGATGCGGGCGAGTCCGGGGGGTTAAGGCGGGCTTACGAATTCAGACCGGTCTACCATGGGTGCAATGATGTACTTCGGACTCCCAATGCTCTTGTAGAAGTCCCTTCCGAGAAGCTTCGTCTTCGGTTCGGATGTGAGGGGGGTTGGCGCATTTTGGTCCGCGACGCTGTTCTGTGGCGCGGGCGCCGTCTCGGGAGTTGCCATTGTCTGCGGGGTGGGACGGAGTGTAGTGGAAAGGTTTCGCCCCAGCCAAGGGGGAAGAAGTCGTAAGAGCTTTATTTTGAGATTTGTGCGGCAACAAGCTTGGACGTATATAACCGATCACACTTCAGTCGCAAGTTAGACGCATACAATCGAGACGAGATAGCGAGGCCTGGGGTACAAGAGCGGATGGCGGGCATCTTTTTTCCACCGATAATTTATCTCGGCACGGAACAAGGTTGTTCCTCTTATCTTATCCAGCGACATGAACCCAATTGACGTATCACTTTTTAGGCGACCTGCATGATTACATCGTCAAAATAGGCATCCTTACTTCTTGGACAATGTTGAGTAAGGTGGTCAGGAACCTGCCTAGCAACTGATATCTGTTACACTTCTTGCTCTTTTGTGAATGTGCCAGTCGTGCCTAAAGCAAGGCAATCATGCCAGAGCTTACATAATCCAATAACGAGGCTTTAGCGCTTTTTCGCGAGTGGGTTTATGTTTGGGGAGAAACCTTCGATATGTTTATCAAAGAAAACTTCGGCAGTATCGAGCGCGAAAAGCTCAGGTAGGCAGATGGTAGTATGCCCAGGGTCTAGGGAGTCGATTCAAAGTCCCCAGATCTCTGCACTCTGCTTCCAAGCTTCCAAACTCTACTAAATTACCGATCTTCAACAATGGACGCCGCAGGGGCGGGTGGTAAGTTGAGGCATAAAACCCCGACAACCACTATATACTGATTGTTCTAGTATCCACTTCCATCACCTTTTCTGAGGATGGTGACTATGTTGTACAGCTGAATGGCAAAGAATTGTTGGTGCATCTCAATCCCACTTCTCCGGATTTCAAGGAAGTGCAAGTGGTGAGGCTTAAAGAGAATGCTTCGAAATCCCTCAAATTCTCCCGCTCCAAGCCTGTCTTGCCATCAAGCACACATTCCTACGGAGGGATGAGTCTCCCGGAGAGACGCCTGCTGTGTGCCAGTGACGCCCGTGTCTCCGTCTGGCGGTTGGATTCGTTGCAGCTGCACGCGGAGATCGAGAGCATCGAGCCCGGAGCCACCTACATCGACTTCGGCGGCGATGAGAACGAGATCATCTACTTTCACGCGTGGAACACCAAGATCACCATTTTTGGGCTGGACACCGGCCGCAGTCAGATCATCAAAGCGCCCAAGTTCTCGACCACCAATGGGTTCGGATATCGACCGAAAACGAGGCAGCTGGCGGTTCTCCTCAAGCCAGATGCTGCTGACCTCCTGACGATCCACGAGTTCGGGACGTACGAGCTGATCGGCCGGGCAACTTTGCCGACGGTGGATGCTCAGGGTCTGAAGTGGAGTCCGGATGGGAGGTGGATCGCCGTGTGGGATGCTGCGAGTGCGGGCACGAGAGTACTCATCTTCACGGCCGATGGTCAGCTGTTCCGAACGTATACGGGCCTACCGGAATCGGATACCTCTTTTGATCTGGGTGTCCGAAGTATCGAGTGGAGTCCGGTTTCGAGTGCGCGCGGGGTCTCTGAGGTTCTGGCTGTTGGGAAGGTGGATGGATCTGTGGATCTACTGAAGAGTACAACTGTAAGGATCACCTTGTGGTGAACTACCTGGATTGACATGCTGACCAAGCCAGTTCTCCTGCTCTACAACTCTTTCACACGTGTTCCAGATCGAACAGAACTCTCCCAGTATCTGGCGAGAGCGACCGACTGAAGACGGAACGTTAGAGTATGCTGAAGCATCAAGCTCTTCGGCGTTTGGTGCCAACGCGGAAATCTCTGGCCCACCCCGTGGTGTAATGATTATGGCGTTTAGTGCTAGTGGCGCGCTTCTCAGCACCGTCGACCAAACACGGCCAAACATTGTCTGGATCTGGGACCTGGAGTCCACGCCGGTCCTTCTGTCTGCTCTGGTCCACGAACACGCCGTCAGGCAAGTGGTATGGCATCCTACCAAGGCACAACTACTCATCAACACTGCGAATCCCGGATATTCTGCCGTACGCTACTGGTCACCCTATAGTCTACCTCTCACAGTTCGCATTCCTATTCCTCGAACCGAGACCGGCAAGTACGATGCGAGGTGGATGTCGACAGATGAAGATGAAGACTCAAGGTTCTGGTTCGGCACACCGGAGGACTATGTGTTTGGCTACATTGAAGGGGTTGATGAGAAGCCACAGTTCCATGTCCTTAATACAATCCGCGGCAAGCCCGCTTCGAGCAGCTCCGGTCCATCGGCGAGCCGTTGATTCGGATAGATGGACATTCGGACTTATGGTATGATGATCTATGCTTTAAGAAACTGTGTTCGGTTTTCTGAGCGACTGAGCGACTTTTGGAAAGGAGTCAACTTAACGTGTTCTAGTATAAGCAATGTATAGTTAGTATCTAATCGTTATCATATGAAGCCTCTAATTGAGCGTGGTCTCTGAGCAGAGTAGTATGACTTTGTGTGTTTCCAGCTGGACTAATAGTAGAAAGCGAGCGATGATAAAACCAGACATCTAACATTCCCAATCCTCCCTGCCATAATGATAGAAGTAGTTTATCTACATCATACTGCCAAGAATAATCTAGATGGTAGATGAGGCCAGAGCAAGCCTGCCAGCAGCCAATGACAGCGGCTCCCCTGGACATCGCAGCTAACCGAGGGCGGCGGCCGCCCGTCCAGGGTTTAGGGTTAGAGCTCACGTGACGCTGAGTCATCCCCCACTCGAATTTCGCACTTGGGCACTCAAGTTTCCGGCCGTTCGCTCTGTTGTGCAGCTCTCCTCCGTCGAACAGCTACATCAGATCGTCAAAATGGTGAGTTAATGTGCGTTGTCTGCGACTTGGTATATCGAGTCCGCAGCCAGCGACCCTCTGCAATATTATAATTCACAAGATGGAATACTAATACTGTGTGCAACAGGCTCCTACCAGAAAGAAGTGGTCCAAGGGCAAGGGTACGCTATCATCTCTCCCCCGTTCCTCAAGCACATCTCTCCTCTCCCCGATGCGATGGAAAAGAATGGTCGCCGGTCACCTGTATTCGAGATGAAGAGGGAAGGGAAAGCAAGGTTTTCGACAGCGAGGGCGACGAACGACGATGGAAACGATGCGGAAATTCACACTACCCACAACGCGAAGACGTTTTTGAATCGAACATACGAAAACTGACTTTTTTTCGGTATATAGTTAAGGACAAGGCCCAGCACGCCGTCGTCCTTGAGAAGCAGGTCGCCGAGCGCCTCAACAAGGATGTCCAGTCCTACCGTCTGATCACTGTTGCCACCCTGGTCGACCGTCTCAAGATCAACGGCAGCTTGGCCCGCCAGTGCCTTGCTGACCTCGAGGAGAAGGGCCAGATCAAGAAGGTTGTCAGCCACTCCAAGATGACCGTCTACAGTATGTTCCATTTTCCCTCTCCATTCTCGGTTCGACAATGTTCTTTGTGAAGGTAAATACTGACGGATTACTTTTTTTTTCTTTGCTTCAGCCCGCGCCGTCACCGCCGAGTAAATGTCTTGACGCTATGAAATGAATTCCTCGCGCGTCCTGTTTTTACTTTTCAAAGTGTGTGTGTACTACGAAATGATATCAACTCTCAAAGCGGATTTGAAGAAATGAAAATCTTTGTGTGGACGAAAGATGAAATCCTGATTGGCTTTTCGACGGGGAAAGTGATTTGTATAGTCGTCAAGTAATATTGACTGCTTGAAATCAATTTCGAAATCAAAAACAACCAAAAAATGATCTGTTCCAAATATCTGTTTCCTGGTCGTAGGGTGGTACCTTGGGGTATGGGCTGAATATGCGTAGGAGGATACGGCATCACTCTATCAACTGCACAACACGGCTGTCCCTGTCGACCAATATTCTCGAACATATACATATACAACCTATGGAACTGACAATACCCCCTCACACCCTCACCATACAACCCCAAATCACCTCTTCCCAGCAGCCTGCGCCTCCAGCACCTGCTTCCGCGTCGGCCTCTGCTGCCTCGCCGCCTTACACAACTCCCTCGTAGCACCCTCACCACCATCCTTCTTTGAAGCAGCAGCAGCAGTAGCAGCAACCTCCTCCAACCCCACCACCCTCCCCACCTCAAAATACCGTTTATGGTTCCGGAAGAACCCCTGCCAGTGCGCGACGGCGCGCTCGATGCGGCCCCGGGCGTAGCGGACGTCCTGCTCGTGGCGCTTCTTCCGCTCGCCGGAGGGCAGGGCGGCCAGCTCGGCGGGGTCGTCGAGGGGCATGAACATCTCCTCGACGCCCGTCAGGTCCGAGGTCAGGTCCTCCTGGAAACAGCCCGTCACGAAGGCGCGGGTGGCGTCCCGGCCCACGAAGAAGTTGTAGTGGCCGCCGGGCCCGTAGACGAGCGGGTTCGCGCTGACGTCGAAGACCGTGCCGTTCACGCTGAGGTACAGCGGCAGGGTCGGGTCGGTGCCATTGTAGAGGGCCAGTTGCGCGGGGGTTAGGGTTAGGGGGCCTTGCTGTTCATACCTTTAGTAATTTTGCTTTTGTGTAAAAGTGGGATGGAAGGGGGGAAAGGGGGGATACGCACCAGGAACCGCATGAGGACGGGGAGTCGGGTAAACCATGGGCGATAGCCCCAGAGGAGCGATTCCGAGGAGGTCATGTAGTAGGAGAGACCGCACGAGGCGATCACCAGCGTGGCCAGCACGCGGATGATGTCGAGGATGCTGATGCCGCGGGCATTTTTGCTGCTGCTGGCTTTCTTGCTGCTGTGGGTGCTCCCGGCTTTGGTGGTGCTTTTGTTGTTGGTGGGTTTCTGGCGTTGACGGACTTCGGCCATGGTTGCGGTCGGTCTTCGCTGGAGGCTTTCTTGTCTGTGTATGTTGGTGATTGGTGGTTTGTTTTGATTTATTGAATCGATGCCATTGAAACTCTGTCCCGGGAGAGTGAGTAGAATATACACCAGGAAATCGGGTGTGGCGATAGTAGGATGTCGAAGTGGAAGAGCAACTTTTATCTTATGATTTTATGACAGGTGGTTTCCAGTTTGGCGGGTTGTTTTCCGCACTCGCGGTTTTGATTTGTTTCCATCCCGCCAATGGTGTGACTGGGGAAATTGCCAGTACCACTTCGTCCACTACTTTTATGCCCGTTAATAATGCATTTCAAAGGGCCAGATTTTACTGGAAGGAGAGAATCAGTCATCGCATGTCTGCCACGGGGAATACGTGGCGCACGAACATGTTCGTATTCGAAAACATATATTGGGCCGATTACAGGCAACAGGGATTCTAATCTCAATCGCCGTCATCTTTCGGTCCCCTCGGAAGGATGTTTTTGATATATATTCGTTTCCACACTAGGCTACCAGTCCTGCCCATGCTTGAATGCCTCAAGTGATTACTACCGGAGGTCCTTCTCCAAACAGCTCTACATAAACCGTGTGTTGACCTGGCAATCATCCAGCTACTCATGAACAATCCGACAGGAGCTTCAAGCACGAGTAAAGTGAAGACGATATTACATAGATACAAATCGGCCATGACCAAAATCCAGCATCAAATACAGCCCCAATCCAAACAATCAAGTTATAATTGCTCCTGCTCCTGTTCCTGCTCCTGCTCCCAGCTGCGAGAGAACACATCATTAAGGGCTTCTTGGAAGGTCCGGCAGTTCATGTCAATAAGGCCCTTTTTGCTCTTGGACTCTGGATTGCGAATCACTGAAACCAGGCACAAATATCTAGCAGATGTTAGTCACCATCGCCTTATCTCTGTCCGTGAATCTAGGTAGCATACTTGTTCATCTCCATCAAGTGTATCATTGTTTCATCATGCAGTACCACATGGCTCTCAGCCTCTTGGTTTTGTTCACCCTTAGGTTTGCGATCTGGATGGTCCCAGGAATACAGCTCAGAGATATCCACAATCACATCGATATAATCCGAGCACATCTCGTAGCATGACATATCAACGGGACGAGTGTCGGATGCAATGTATATTTTACTCAAGACATCGAATAGATAAGTCTTTTCGAAGCCACAGTTGTTGGCGAGCGTGTTGATCAAGTTCTCCAGAGTCGAGAGGTTAGGAATGAGCTTTTGGATGACTTTACTGAAAGCCTCAAAGACTGAATAATCGTAGATAGAGGTTAGGTAGTAGTGAACCGGAGCATTTTCATATCCGGCATCGCTCAGCTCGTCGGAGATCAGCTGTACAATGTCTTGGAAGGTGTCTGTGCGGTACTCGTCGGAAAGTCCATCCACTTTGTGGATGAAGACTTCGATATTGATATTGGGGTAGTATTGCTGCACGGTCAATATGGTACGGTTGAGACGTGCAACAGAGTCCAGGTAGTCATCCTGAGCATCAATGACCCAAACCAGTGCCCCAAGACTCCCGAAAATATTTTCGAGATCGAAAGATGGCTCCAGATACTCGAGCTGACCGGGAAAGTCCCAGACCTGGAAATCCATGAAAGAGCTTTTGAGCGCGTCAGCAGAGTCAGACTATGCGCTAAATCAATCGCTTACTGGATCGAATCTTTTTGTATCCGAGTGGTCGACTCAAGGAAGAGCGTTTCATTTGGGGGCATCTTATGGAACACAACGCTAGCAATGGACGATTTGCCGCTCCTGTAGAGGATTAGGGTTCATGCTAGGGAAATCCACAGAGAACTAACACCCACCGACGGAGACCCATTAGCATGAGACGAGGCTTAGCATCTTGCGGTTTGCTTGTCGAAAGCTGACCATTCTTGGCCTGAACCTGTTCAGGCAAGAATTGGCTAGTACCCTGCAACATATGCTATTAGCTTGATGATTGAAGACGATTCAGATGCAAGCATGATGCAAAGACGTTTCCGAGCCAGGCAGGAGCCATAAGAACCACAAGGCAAGGATGCAAAAAAGATAGCAATGGCCTTGAACCATACTTTAAGCCACCACACCACGGTCACATTTAAGATGGTCACGTGCTTCTATCCGACAGTCACACAGTTACACAGCACTCTGAGCAGTCAGGATTCTCTCCATGACTACCCATCTATGTGCTGACCAACACATGCGTAGGGCTTCGGGATATATCACAGGAGAACATGAACCAATTTGGGAGCAAGAAGTCTCGTCATGGATGACACTTCGAGGTAAGGTAGAGAGAATCCTCAAACACAAAGAAAAATTCGTACCTCCATACTGCAGTAGCCGTTATCGATGGCTGATTAATGGAATAGATCACTGTATAGATAGTTAGACCAACTTCCAGGTCAAATATTGCACATCTAACGAGGAAAGGAGTGTCGATCTGCACCCACCACAGTTGAATAGACAGTCGAGGCGAAGAAGCGGTAGATAAATCAGCCGAGTAAGTCCTTATGTCTGTCACAGAGGAGAAGATGAGATTGGGGCAATCCATGCATCTACCGAGTCAAAGTGCGCGTGTACAGCCAATAAACCCGAACTCGGACTTGAAGCTGGTCAGGTGACGACGGGGACTATAAAGTGTGGACTAAGCACGTCGAAAGTGGGATATGCAGAAGAAAAGCGAGACTTCAGCAGTTGATGATGTCCATGATTGGCGCAATGGTTCAGTAGAGCAGAAGGCAAGAGGAGGTCACAGAACGGAGAGGTCAGTTGAATCCACCATCCGGCAGCGGATAGTATAAGCGGGCAGTGCTTGGGAAGCAATGAGTGTCGCGTGTGTGATTTTAGAGGAGTCTTAGCAAGAATACCGCCTCGTGTTCTCGGTAAATTTACTTAAGCAAATGGTCTGGATGCTCAGACGGGCAGCGAGGATATCAGCGAGGTGAAGCAGATCGGTTAAGGCAGAGCAGGAGCAAGCAATGGCAGAGAGAGACACCGGCGGTGGGTTGCATCGATAAGCCCGGCAGGGGATCCGCTTGGCACTTTTGCACAACTTCACCTCTGGCATTATCTTAGACCCGTGACCGCCTTTGCTGCCGCCTCAACCGTTAGGATGTTTGTGCTGTTTGTTCCAGCACAACACATGGCGGCGGCTTCATTGGCCGGGGCGGATCCGGCCGCCTTCGTGCGTCATCACCGCCTCGGCCAATTCGCCGAGGCTGGAACCATCCATCTGCAGCTGCTTTCATTCCCCTTTATTCTCCCTCGCATTGCGGATTATCTCATTGAGCTTGCGAGCTGAGTTGGGCACATCAGTGCTGTCTAGTAGCTCGTCATGACTACCCTCAAACCTCGCGAGCCTTACTCCCAGGAGGAGTTGGAGCGCCTCTACCCTAGCGATTTGAAGCTTCAACTGGTCCAAGTAGTGAGTGCTGGCACCCACACAATGCCTCAGAGAGCGTCGGGAGACTAACAACGAGCGACAGTTCCTTCGTCATGGTAAGAGCTTATCATTTCATATGTCCGTGGTCAGACTATTTACTAAATAACGTACAGGCGAACGAACACCCGTGTCTTCGCGATTCCAAAATGCAGGGCTCGCCCCATGTACGTCGACCTCCTGAAAACAGTACCTCTTCTAGGAACAATTCGATTAATGATCTCTGTCCACCTTCACATAGACTGGTCATACTGCACCGTCGCGCGCCAGATGCTCCAGATGGCCGCGAGCAACAAGGATCTCAAAACCTGGAACGGATTCCAATGGCGTCGGAAACACGAGTCGTTCGGCAGCAAGGATGAAACCGTCGCTGCAGTCGGCGCATCGGGTGAAGTGGACGGGATCTGGCAAGTGGGATCGAAATAAGGGTCGAGAAAGCCCTGCTGACCGTCTGGAACAGTCTACACGGCGAATTGACCGACAAAGGACGCGAAACAACCTATGCACTGGGCCAGCGCCTCCGCCACCTCTACGTCGATCAGCTCGGCTTCTTGCCCAAGATCAAATCTGACACTGAGGACATGTACCTCCGGGCAACGCCCATTCCACGTGCACTCGAGTCCCTCCAACAAGCCTTCTGGGGCCTGTATCCTCCCAATGCCCGCACTCAGGACTTCCCACCCCCTGTGATCGTAGGACGATCCGTGTCGGAAGAGACACTATTCCCTAACGAGGGCAACTGCCGTCGCTTTAGACAACTCTCCCGTCTGTTCGCGGATAGGGCCGCACTACGATGTACGTAACACCCTTGTTCCCTTCACCGTTCCGTTGCCCGTGATCACTCACCCTAACCACCAACAGGGAACGAGACCGACGAAATGGAGTACCTGAACAAGCTCTGGTCTAAATGGATGCCGGAAACCTCCCCCCGCGTCGCTGTGGACTCCCACCCGCGACTTTCCGGTATCATGGACACCGTCAACGCCACCGACGCCCACGGGCCCGCCACCCGCCTCCCCAAGGAGTTCTACGACACCAAAGCCCGCGAGTACATGGACCGCATCGCCGTGGACGAATGGTACTCTGGCTACACCGACAGCGTAGAGTACCGCAAGCTGGGCATCGGCGCGCTGATGGGGGACGTCGTCGACCGCATGGTCAGCACGGCCGTCGCCCCCGGGGGGTGGCGCAGCGAGGCCGCCACTAATCACCGCCAAAGCCAAGCCATCAAGTTCGCCATGAGCGGCTGCCACGACACCACCCTGGCCGCCATCCTGAGCAGTGTCGGCGCCTTCGGAAACAGCAAATGGCCCCCCTTCACCTCATCCGTTGCCATCGAACTCTTTTCCAAAGCCTCCGACAACGGCAACACCCCCACCAACACCACCGCCAGTGAAAGCGGAAGCTCCTCCCTCCTCTCCCTCCTCCCCTCCACGAAATCCCAACCAGAAACCGATCGCGTCCCCCTCGCCGCCCTCCCGGACTCCACCCGCCAGTCCCTCCGCACCCACTACGTCCGCATCCGCTACAACGACCGCATCGTCCGCGTCCCCGGCTGCGCCGCCAAGCCTGAGAACCACCTCCCCGGCGATGAGACCTTCTGCACGCTGGACGCCTTCAAGGAGATCGTCGACAAGTTCACGCCGCAGAATTGGGGCGAGGAGTGCATGCAGAACCTCGGGGAGGGGTTGTTCGGCAAGGATGACCGGGAGAAGGTCCCCGCTGGGGTTTGAGTAACCAAAACGAGAGAAACCGTAAGCAGAACTGTTCTCGGTGGGCCATGTAGAGTTGTGTAGTTGTGGAGGTAGCTGTGTACATGAAGACATTTTGCTATATTGATTGACGAGCTATGGTTGGAAATATCGATAGAGGGACCGAGGGAGGGGGGGAGGGGGGGGGGGGGGGTAAGGGTATAGATTAATGGATGATTTTTGTGTAAATTTCCAAATACCTCCTTATCTAATTGCTCCATTGGGGAAACTAGGATAAGAGGTCTTACCATGCCAATTGAGCGGAAGAAAGGATGGTCACTAAGTTAGTGCTCATGCGTAATCAATCGAAAACAATCCCCGACTTTTTGTCTCAATTTACAATACTATATACAAGGTGAACTATGTACACCTCCAACGAGACCTGGTATCTATAAGAATAACTTCTACTTTCCCCTTTCCAAAGCCCAACCCATACCCACAAAACACCCGAGCCCGCACCTATCAACAAAACACTCTTCACGCACTCGATGCCTTTAGCCCTAGGAGTGATATTGGCATCTCCCTCAACACCGCCCAGGACTCACTCGCTCTCGACCCCACTAGCACGCGACCTCGACCTCCTCGAACGCGCCCTGGGCTTTTTGGCATCCTTGTCCGTCTCGGAGCCCGAGGAGGCGGAAGCCCTGCCAGCACGTTTGGAGGTAGCTCTTTTGGGGCTGCGAGATCCTTTTCTGGGGTTTCCTGCTTCGGTGTCTACTTCCATCTCGTCAGCGGAGGAAGCGGAGGCGGAAGCTCTGGCAGCGCGTCTGGCAGCGCGCTTTTCAGCCCAGATAGGTCTTTTAGCATTGCGATCCTCATCGGACTCGTCGGTTGGGAGGGAGGAAGCTTTGGCCGCGCGCCGAGCGACATGTCCAGCAGCCCTTTCGGCTCTTTCGGCAGCCTTTTCAGCTCGTTCCGCGGCCCTTTCAGCTCGTTCAATGCTGGCATCTACAGCCAGCTCCATCTCGTCGGCTGAGGAGGCCGAAGCCGTCGGGGCACGGCTGACAGCTTTCTCAACTCTTATCCCAACTCTTCTTATGATTACAGGGTTTCCAACTTCTGCGACCACCTCCACCTTATCAGCAGCCGAGGAGGCGGAAGCCTTGGGAGAACGGCTGGCAGCCTTCTCAACTCGTTCCTTGCCTTCAACTTTCTTGGTGTTTCCAGAGTTTGCAACCTTCCCAGCTTTTCCAGCCTTCCCAGTCTTTTCAGTATTCTTGTTAGCCAGCTTCGACTTCGAATTCTGTTTCTTTGTCGCGTTCTGCTGTTGCGCCTTCTCCCCAGAGGCCGCTGAAGCTTCCTCCAGGATCGCAAACAGCTTCTCCATGGCGGGTACATATGCTTGGAGGATGGGGAAATCACCGACACGGACACGCATATAGTCAAAGGCGTTGACGTAGGGCCCGTTGTACTGGGCGCGGGGCGTGGCAGTAATCACGCCGCCGGTGTCTTCGTTCGCGCCCTCGAGCTGGGGGTTGCTCTCCTCAGCCAGCCCTTCCTCGTCGTCAGGGACATCCTTGGTTCGCAGGTTGGCAGAGCTGTTCGAACCTGGTCCGCCCTTGGCCTCTTGTGAAGTGTGGTCGTTCTTCATTGCGACATTTCCCTGATAGCGTTGGCTGAAATGGGTGAGGAGCAGGGCCCGGGCTTGCATCTGACGCGCGACTTCCAAGGCTTCGGCGTATGTGGAGTGTTTCTTAGCGATAGCGCTACCCGCCATGTCGTTCTGAAAAGTGGCTTCGTGGATGAGAACCGTCGAGCCGCGGCCTGTAGCTGCAAAGTTCCACGAAGGACGACAGTCACCGGAGAAGGAGAGCTTGAAGCCATCGGGGTACACAAGGGTCACAGCCATGGATCCACGGCAGTGTTGGACTCGGCAGGGCAAGATGTCAGAAAGGCCGATGGCCTCACGGAGAAGAGCCGAGAGGGGGTCCGAATCATCCTGGAATCGGAGCGTGGTTGTCATGGGTCGAGATCCCGCCTCCATTTGCCCAGGGAAGGTACCGTCGGCGCGACAGTGGCGATACTCAAATGATGTCTCAAAAGTACCACCTCTGACCTGTTGGGGAATAGCGCTCAGGGCCGTCACCTTCTGGAAACCGTAATCCTCGACACTGGCATATTCCTCGAGCCAAGTAGTCATCATTTGCTCGCATACAACGAACAGGCGCTTATCCCGTAGAATCGTGGGCATGTCTTGCTCGATCACGTCGGTCCGTGACAAACCATTGGGATAATTTGCCTGATACCAGGCCTTGATCACATTTGCAATACCAAGGTGGTGGTCAGCGTGGAGATGACTGATCCAAATCATCCGCATATTCTGGAAAACTTCGCGCAATGCCTCAGGTCCGAAGACGCGCTTGAGCTGTCCAAGAGTGCCCTCGCCGCAGTCGAGTAAGTAATAACCATTGCCTGGTGCGTGAACGAGCGTGCTGGAGACATTTCGATGCTTGGATGGTACAGATGATCCAGTTCCCAGAGTGATGATTTCGACGTCAGCGCCGGGAAGGTCCTGTCGGAATGCTGCCAGATTATCCTGGAACTCGGGAGTTTCTTCCTGCCCAGATATAACCTTCATTCGAGTCTCAACGTCCTTCGGCAACTTTTCCTTCGCATTTCTGGGATCGTATCGAGGAGTAACTTCAGATTCATCGACCCCGAAAGTGGGTTCCATGTTGATAATCATGCCCGGCTCTAGAGGTCGCAAGGGGGCACATTCGTTCGATGAGACCACGGCTTCATTGAAGAGCCTGGATTGTGGAACAGTCACATTGTCATAGACAGGCAGGGCATAGTTGTCGGGCCTGACCATGGCCATCTGCGCCGTCGACTTGGCAACCTCTTTCATGGCCAGGTGATCGGGACAGTAATCGGGACTGGAGACCGTATGCGTGCAGTGCGACATCTTCGCAACGAATTCTCGAAGCTTGGGGTGATCTCCCACACCGGGGCCTAGGATCCAGATGAAGGCTTCCAGATTCAAGGCCGCCGTAGGTGAGTCCCACTCAGGGCGGTTGACCAGGTTCTCCACATAAGCTGGCGAAGGCAAATCTATGATTGCGACACCTTTGCCAATTTTTTCCTCATCAAGAACCATATCCGGCGTGATAGTTTGACCATCCTCTGAGAGAACGCTTTCACCTCTAGTCAGCTTGGCGTAATCGGGGCCTTTACGGACCTTCAAAGCCTGAGCCTTGAGAGGGTCGAACTTCCCTCTGATGTTATGGTTCCGGACGATGTAAGAGATGGCGTCTTCGTTCCAAGACGCGGGAGGAATCCTCTCCACGTTGGCACCAGGCCAAGGCTTGCGCACCAGAACGGTTATGTCAGGAAGCGGCATGCTGCCCCCAGGAGCCGGGCCGGTGTACCGTTGCAAATCCTTGGTTTTCGGGTCCCTAACAAAAATGATCGCGGGCATCTGCACATCTGCCAACTTAAGTTCCTGTAACGCATCCAGCGTCCATGTCGAATTGAACATGTTCGACACCACGTTTTGTCTGATAACCTGATCGGCTAGCGCTGCAGCATTCTTCTCCTCGACCTCAGCTGTGTCCTCCTCGCGAAACTCCTCGTGGCTGCGCTTCCTTGTGCGCTTGCCCTTGGATCGGGAATGAGACTCAGGGCTCACGGCCATGACCCAGACCTTGATATTCTGATCTGACCACGTCGGTTGTTCGTATGGGTCGGGGGGACTCCCACGCTGTCCAGCCAGGCTGTCCCCATCATGTTCTTGCATATACATGGGTAGACCCTTGCGGAAGATGAACTTGCGCGCAGTGGCCATCAGGTGCGTGAGATTTTTCCCGCCGTGAATCGTCAGGGTCCCTCTCTGCGCGACCCGCTTGCTTCCCGGTCTTGGAATAGGCAGTTCGTCTCCCTTGCCCCCCTGAGCGAGGTCCTGCTTCTGCTTCCGCTCCTCGTTCTCTGTCTTTTTCTGCTTCTCCGAAAAATTGGCTGCGGCGCTGGCCAGTCCATCGGCCAGCGTGAGGATGACGCCGAACAGCCCTCCCGCGTTGCTCATCTCCAAGCGGCCCGTGAGGAAGATGTCGGTCATGAGACCGAATTTGACCGACGTGCCCGCGCATGCTCGCTGCGTGCCTTCGGCGATCTGACCAAAGAGGTAGCGTTTATCGGGAAAGTTGAGGACGACAGCGCTGCCCGGGGTGTCGGCCGTCGGCGTAGTCACCACTTGATAGTAGAACTTCATGGGATTGATTTGGTCTACCGATGGTTGTGAAGTGAAGCCCTTGCTTGGGTTGTCTTGATCGTCGTAGAAAATGTACTTGTAACTGAATGCGGGATCAACGACGCGAGGAACGGCGAGGAGATGCCTTGCTTCGAGTAGACTTTTAGATGTGAGGATTGATCGATGAGTTCGTCTGTATGATTTGGAGATTATGGAACGGATATTCCGGAGGCGTAGGATGCAAGGAAGAATGGTCGTAGATGGAGATATCGACGTGAAGCCAACTCGTGGAGAGGCGCTGGCGGTCGGCCTTCTAAGGAGCCGGAGTGAAGCCAGTGTGGTTGAAATTGCAAAAGAGCGAGAATGAATACCAATCAATATGCGCTAGAATTTGGGCAATCGTAAATAATCATAGTCTTAGAAGTATAGAGCAGATAGGGATTGCCCGACTATCATGGATGGATTGATGAAGGAGGGAAGGCAAACAGAAATTCACAAAAGCTGCAGCGAGTGCCGCGGCGATCCAACCAAGAAAGAATCAGCTCCACCCGCGCGGCGTCCACGGTTCCATCGACCTAATTGGCCAAGTGACCACCTACTACTGTACTATGTTAGGGAGTTATTATTTCTAACGACGACAGTCCAGACTTCGTTTCGAATCATATTTACACTATATTCGATAGTAACTTTTGGATATGTTCTGTATTGATTGCCTTGTGTTTCCTTATCCGCCAGTATCCAGTACCTTCCATCCTATAAGTCCGTCCCTTGGAACCGATCCGTATAAACCCCATAAGCACATTCGAGGCCCCCCAGCATCTGAGGCATATAATCAAAAAAAAAGTAAAAAAACAAATGGAAAAAGAAAAATGGAAGTAAAAGGAACCCAGATCGAGTGTAGGAGACTGCATTTGATGCAGATGATGTGTAGCCAGAGAAGAAAATCATGGACAAAAGAGAGACGTCGGTGTCTACACCTGAGTATTTCGGAAAGCCAGCACACGAGCAGGCTTACATCACGCAAAATTGTCAAACTCAAATTGCAGAAAGGGGAATCATGAGAGGTGAGAAGTCATCAAGGAAACACGTTCAAAGGCGGCCTCCATACTGTGGCATAGTTGAGCAAACCGAGTGTCACGTTCCCGAGGCTGGTTCTCGACCACCAGATCGAACGTGACTGTCGGCTTCTCTGAGAAACCTCCAAAGGAGATCGCAGGGGGCTCCGAGGAAGAAGCACGGGGCGCGTCCAGGAAAAGGGCAAAAGCGGGATCAGACTCGTCAATCTCGACATCCGGGTTCTCGACGCCGACAGTGACGGGCTCCTTAGCATCCACGGGCAGAGACTCAAGAACAGGAGCTTCACCCTTTGCACCAGAGATGTTGGGCAGGCAAGACTCCGTGAAAGTGGAAGACTTTCCAGATAGAGACTCGGAATCGATAATTGGCTCAGGTACCTCCAGAACGGCAAAGACCGAAGCATTGCCGAAGTTCATATCTATGCCCGAGTTCCAACCTGCATTGTTCATGCCCATGGCAGAAACATCAAGTCCCTGGTTAGGAACCATGACCATGCCAACCTGAGAAGGCTGTTGCATAGGTGGTTGTTGCTGGGGTTGTGGTTGAGAGTGTACTGGTTGCTGCTGAGGCTGAGGCTGCGGCTGATGTTGGTGTTGAGGAAGTTGCTGTGGTTGCGCTTGGCTAGACATCGGGGCACCGCCGACGCTGAGTTCGTCTAGAACCTGACCGAAATGAGGCGAAGACAGGAGCGTGCGAACGAGGTCAGTCAGACGACCGTTCTCCTCAAATAGGGCACGGTTTTGAAGACGAAGCTCATGAGCTTCGTTGGTTTTGGCGGCAACTTCACTTTCGAGTTGACCAATGTATTCTGCGAATGTGATCAGCTACAACCCTTCTGCTTGAAAACCGACGTTGGTACATACCCTTTCTGCGAGAACGGAAGGCACGAGCGGAAACCTTATTGCGGAGCTGGCGACGTTCCTTGCTGCTAAGCTTCTTGCCCTCTTCACTGGCCAGGAGGCGCTCATCTTCATCCATATCCTGCTCGTCCTTTTTGGCCTTAGCCATCTGAGGCAGAGATGAAGAAGGAGAAGGCGAGTCGTCGGGGGAGCCCATGGCATTCTGGCGCATTTGCTGCAAAAGCCGTGATATCCGCTCCTCAACCAGTGGATTGGGGGGACGAGGAGTCTGGCTGTGAGGAGCCCCATGCTGATGCATATGCTCGTCTAATCGGCGCTGTTGCTGCTGGAATTGCTGCTGACGGAGGAATTCGTGATGTCTCTGTTGTTGTGCTGCCTTGGCCATGGCAGCTTGCTGCTGGTGCATACCGGGATACATGCGACCCACTTGAGTGGACGGACCAGCGGGAACAACCTCATGACCGCTCAAGGCGGTTGGATCCACGAACTGGTTTCTGTTGCTGGGGTTCGGCGAAAGGAAATAGGCCGGGGCGGTTCCCATATTGTCAGACTCCAGGTCCATTTCGGAAGGGTTCCGTGTCGGGGGGCTGTTGAAATCCATCGGAGCGTCTTCGCGCTTGATCTGACTACCAGAGAACATATCCCCATTCATCGGGTAGTTGGGGCTTGCACCACCGAATCCCATTCCATTCATGTGGTTGAATGTCATGGCATGAGCTAAGGCGCCCGGGGGCAGGCCGGTTTGTTGCTTATGTTCGTCATACTGGTGACTCGGGGCCTGAAACGCAACTGGCGTCGGGTTTGTCGAAGCGAAACCAGCACTGCGTACATCGCCTGCGTTGAATTCAGTGCTGGGGAGAGTGGGCTGAGTGATGAGTGCGGTCTTTGATCGAGCGGTTTCCGCGGTGGTGTAAGCGAGTTGGTCTAAATTCAGAAACGATTCAATGTCTTGTTCGTAAGTTGAAGGCGCGACAGCCGGGTGTTCCGCCAAGGTAGCCATGATGACGAAACTGTGGTTGGAAAGGAGGAAGCGAGACTGTGGTCAAGGAGACTCGTTGATAGCGACGGGATTGGTGTCTCAGCCAGTGTCAATGTCGAATACAAACGAGAGTCACGAGGGTCGGTTGAGGATCGGGATAACGAGGGACGATGAGGAGCAGTCGAGTCGAAGCAATAGTCGGAAGGGCTTGCAGTCGAGAGATGGAAGGATGTTGTGTGTTGTGTGATTGGGGAGGAGAGATGTGAAGAGGCAGATGGGGGTATTGTACAAGAGGAAAGGCAGGCTCAATGGGAAGAATGGAGGATCAGTATAGTTAAGGGGGGGGGTGGGGGGATGTTGTGTGAAGGAGGAAGGCGGTGGTGGTGTGTGGTGGGTGGTGAGATGGGAAGAGGGAATTAATGAGGGATACAGGCGTGAAGGTTGGCCCGTCTGGATGGATGGAGCTGGTTGCTGGAGACTGCAAAAGGTGGACTGGAGGAGACGAAGAGGGACTGGAGGGAACGGCGCCAGGAGAAGTGAGAAAGGACCAGGAATAGAAATCAGGTAAAAGGCTTGCGCGTCCTCTGATGACTCAGCGGCGCTGTTGCTCGGAGCCCCGCCTGGGTTGATGCTACGATTGGTTGGGCAAAGTCAAGCCAGGGCTAGTGGATCCACCCTTGGCGCTAGGCTCCACCGAGAACAATTTAGCTCGTTCCACCGTGACTCTGCTGGTGAGCCGTTCACCCCCCAGGAAGGGCAGAAAACAACCGTCAATAATAATCAATTGAAGACGAAATAACCTTAGAAGATCTTCTGATAAGATTGCATGTTTACTTAGTATTTTGTTTACTGGAGCTTGTATGCTCATTTTTTCTACTGCTTCTGAATCTATGGCGTAGTCTATGTATATCTGGCCTTTGTCACGTTGATTCAATTCAGATGAGATCATGTCAACCATCGACTGAAAAATCATCTGAAGGAAGGGAGAACTTACTCTGTACAATACTCCTTCGATGAGAAGGAATGAGGGCCTTCCAGTGCGGGAGGTATGTGCGCCCCCACCAAGTTTTCACAGGGCCGTCCATCTTTTTCTCCCCCCTCCCCCCTGAGTGACTGTTTCCCCCCTCCCCCCTAACTCTCTTGCAACCTCACGCAACGGACGAGCCACGGCTTGTCGGCTTCACATTAACCTTCACTCTCCTGTGCCACTACGCCGCATCCAGGCGATTTTTCCGATTGACTGAAACGGTAGCCGAGAAGTGCGATCTTAATGCCAGACATGCTGTGGCACCAATAGGAGATCCTTCGGCAACATCGCTCGCATTCTGATCCAGATCAATCCTGACTTATGACGTTAGTGGCTCGTTCGAACCAATGGCGATCATTCGTCGAGAACTCAAGAAAAACTCCTTCAATCACCATACAGCTGCGGTTTACGGAGCATTTCTTATTAGTCAGAATCGCATTGGACAGATGGCAATTCTCAACACTCGCAACGTATCTTGATGCTCGAATGCAGTGGGATGTCGTCAAGCGAATCGACCGCCATCGATGGGATGAAACCCGGGGTGATGGGGACCAACTTCCGGTCTCGAACAACGCAGTTGAGGCCGATTCTGATTCCAACCAAGTATGCAACCTGTATCTTGCGACAGCGCACCCACTTTCATGTGTCCTCCAGCTGAGGTCCATGGAGTGATTCAAAGAGGTCATGAATCTCGACTCTCTCTTCAATCGTTCTAGTTCCTCACACTGTAAGGTCATCCAGGGAAATGGATTCTGGGTGGATAAACAGCCCTGCTGGGCTTTACCTGAACTGACCAAGTGTCTTTTTCCCAGTGCCCACTGAGAAAAGCTTGGCGGGTGAACGCGGGCTTAGCGGCTTAGCCACTCTGCACCATTCAAGAGAATCGGCCCTTGACGCCCGTTTCGGATTAGGGTTAATTCTTCAAGGTTGGCCCCTTCGCCCTCACGTCTCGAATTTGCTCAACTTGCCGGGCCATGGGCGTCAATCTCGGCGCTATTGCTTTTTACTGGCACCCTCCCGTCGTTTCGGGCCCCACTGCTCGTCTAGCAGCAGTGCAGAAGCCAGAAAATCCGGCCTACCCCTGGGCCGTTTCAGGTTCCAGCCGAGCAAGTCATTCAGCTCTACGGTCTACGCTGTATGTTGTGTAGGGTTGTGACACCAGGCGCATCAGCACTGCTGTTGATTTACCTGGGTTATCAGATGAATATCCCCTTCGAGTAGGCCTTCCCCGTGCGCTTTGCAAGATGATATTGTTCGAGAGGTCTTTCGGCCGGCTATATCAATAATCTACAACGTGCCAACCCTATAACTTACCACAGACCAATCTTTGACAAAAACTTTGTGAGACTAAGCTGGCACAGCGGAATAAGTCTCATCCGTTATCGAAGCAAAGAATATACATACAATTCTGCAAACTCTGATCAAACGTTCGCCCAGCCCAAGTCCAGACTTCCATCCTTTTCGCGAATAGACAACCTTCTAGAAGGGCGCACTAGAAGGGGGCTTGTAGGCTTGAAGCTGACGGGGGCTAGAATTTTCCCTTCGTAACCCTAGTCCACCCCTTAAGCCTCAAACTGACCCTTTAGCCGCAACATCACGATAACTTTATTAGGAAATCGAGACGAATCTCTTCCCAAGCAACATCACACCTGCCGCTTAGTCAGTACGGCCGTGAAGAAAGACAATTCTAGCCTCAAACTTTATGTGCGTGAGCTAGGATTTTTGACACTATTCGAAACGATCTGCGGCCGAGACGCTCATTCCTGACGCTGTTCTCGCACGAGCAGAGACTCATGTGGTGGATTCTTTCCTGAACGATGCTCAGTTGGAAGCGACATTGAACCAGGGCTTAGGATACTGGCAATTTCTGATGAGGATCTCGACCTACGCTGACGCCTCGTAACTGGTCTAGAGTGTTCTACCAGCAGCATCCGTCCAGACATAGTCCCGGCCAGAGACTGCCTCTGGAACTCGGCCCTACAAGGCTACCTTGCACGATGGATCCATCCTCATGGGTTCCTTTTGCCTATCTGGGCTTCTGATGGACACACCTTTCGGCTATTGCTGGCCGGGGAATACTAGTACATACTCTACGGCACATGGTCCCGTTCGTTTGCTTTTAGACGCATTGGTTCAAGCGAGCAAAAATCACCCAAATAACTAGACTATCAGCAGATCATGCTCAATAGAAACTTCCGTGCATATGCCGAAAAGGTACAAGGTAGTCTGTCAAGACATTTGACTGTTCATAGAACGAGCTAAGCGTCGGACAAGTCTAGTGGCTGAGCAGACTACGACAAGATGTTCCATATCGCCACTCTGCGACAGACAAGAGTCATACTGCAATTCGAACTGGTCAGTGGCAGGGAATAATGTATGAGACGAGGAGAATGCTTCTCTTCGTACAATATTGAAAGAATAGACATGTGACTGAAAACGGCCAAGGCTCGGGTACCCAAGGAGGTGTGATGTCTTCACGACGTATTGCAGACCCTCCCCACCATTACCTCAGCCGAACTTCTGAACTACCTCCTTTCCAGCAACCATCGAATTGACTTTTGCCAGAATCACCTGTCAATTGCATTTGACACAAGATTCTAAACCAGGAATACATGCAGACAATTCCCTCGCTCCCCAAACATACTAAAAAAAGATCAATCACTCGCTCACATCAGTGGCGATAGTAGCATTCGTCAGACAAAGTCAATATCATACATCATATGGTTACATTCATCAATCGCATCTTATACATGGCATAATCATCATAATTCCTGTCCATCAACCAGACACAGCATTTACTCATCAGGAGTCTCCTGGTCGTACTGGGACTTCGAACCACCCTTCTGTCCAGCAGCACGAGCTTTGGGGTCGCCGGGCTTGAAGCTTCCGCTGGAAGCGTGGCCGCCCTGGGAGGCGATGTTGCGCTGAGATAGCTGATTAGAATTGCCGAAGCTCACGAGTTTGACATATATATATAGAATGAGGAACAAAGGACACACCTGCTTCTCCGGGTCCATACTCGCAAACCCCCCGGAGTGACTCGACTGGCCGCCCTTGCGGGCGATGTTCTGAACCTCCTCGTGGGAGCGGTTGGAGAAGTTTCCGGGGTTGGTGTTGGAGGCCATGGTGCTGGTTTGGAAAAATGGTGTAGAAAGAGATTTGTGGTAAAGGTACTGTAGATGGAGAATTAGATTGGTTTGTTTCTTGGATTAATCTGACATGCTGGTGGTGCTTGAGTTGCTCCTTATAAGTGTGTTCCGGGAACGAGGATGAAGTCATGATGTTGTCCGTTTGACATCAGAACTCTGAGACTCATCACAAATGAGAAAGACTTGGCGGCGTGGTGATGAAAGAGTCAAATCACTGACTCGTATTGTTCTCGGATGGATGATCGATCGATCTCATTCTTGTTGTTCGGTTGCCACGCGCGGTGATCGAGGCCCTCTATCCGTGGTCGCCGATGGGGGAGTTTAGGTACAGGACCTTGTTTGAATCATCATCATCATCATCATCATCATCATCACGTTGGATTCGCCATGTGAGCATATACTTGATTAGATCAGAGATAATCTAGAACCCGGGCATCTGGTACAGTACTCAGTGTAGGCTAGAAATGCAATATGTGATTGAACTATGTCATCATTGGTGAGGAGCGAGCAGCATGGAGGTACTCGATATTCTCAGGCCGGGGTAGACGTAGATTAAGTTGAAGTCAGTGATTAGACATTGCATGGCAGAGTCGAGGCCTCTTGTGTTCGATATGTTCAACAAATCTCCGGGCTTTCCCGACTGCTATATCTTCAACAATGAAATCAGAGAATTGTATTAAAAGTCTATCATTCAGGATTCATGGCTCAAGCTGTATTGGTGTTGATCTGTGCATATCTGCATTAGGACACACAACCCGTGACAGCTGCACTCAGGTCATTGGCGACATTGATGCTCTGTGATTATCTGCTCAGCTTCTCAATTACAGTCCTACATGCACCAGACAATTCCTCATGGCTGGATGCTCGGTCATCATACAGTCTCTTCTCGTCGCTGAATCCTACATAACCTAAGTAGGTTAGACTAGAATCAGTTGCAGTATGCATCCTCTGTATCGTGGTCGGCTGCAGCTACCGGGTGGACCATGAAGGACATGTCTTGGCCATCATTTGAATCTTGGAAGGCGGCCGGGATGGTACTCCAGACGAAGCAGACCAGAAGATCTTTAAACCCCTTCCAAAAGAAGGTAGGAAGAGAACATGTCGGTCTTGCTATTCGACCATCACCGGCCAAGCATCCATGGGCTGTTCATGGCTTCCCCTGGTATTCAGTCCACATAAGACTGCGCCCGACTCTTCTCCTAAACCAAACTATGCTCTACAACACGTATGACAACATAAAGAAAGACTCAAATGACCGCTGCAGGAGAGTCCCAGTCATGTTGAGTATCCAGAGCGAAGCCTCGGCTAGTGTGTAGCGGCTATTCCTCTTTCGGACCCCGACGGCACTTTCCATAGTCTTGATAGACATCACCAGAGAATGATTCAACACCGGGTTGACTCAAAGGACCAAAACAGTGGAGCTTTGTCTTCTCGCGAGGAATGATCTGAATCATCTTCTCAGTCAATGCTAAATGAGTTTTAGTCTTGGCGATGGAAGCCGCCTTATGCATTGCTTGCTTGCATGAATACATGGACGAAGTATATATACGAGCGTCGTATACCCAGAGACAATCTTCAGAGCCATCGCGTTTACCACCCACAAGGGAATCATTTCTGCTTGACAATTTTCTTTCTCACGTCCCTATTCTATCTTCACCGTTGTTGAATTCACCTCAAGAAATATCATGCATCCCACAATAATCGCAACCTGCAAGCAAACCCGCTTCCATATCCTTGACCAAGCCTCAAAAGAGGTAGCTTCCCTGAGCCCTGTTCATCAGCATTGGAGCACGTATAACTAATTCTAGCTTGGGGAGTACGATAGGTGGACGTAGAAGGAATCACCATCGCGGTATCATCACGACAAAACCACGCCGACTCCGCCGCAACAACAGATCTCAAATCGAAACGAAAGGCCAAGGCTGAAGCGAGGGAACTTATCTCTGATGCACATCTGCGTCTCAAAGCAGGGGTGCACTATGGACTAGTAGGTCGTAATGGAACCGGAAAGTCAAGTGCGTTGTCTACCACTGTCGTTCGACACCACCCTGGTCATCCGTGGCAGGACGGTCCATGGACGGATCCACTGATTGCTTCTTTACAGCACTACTACGAGCTATCGCCCACAAGTTGGTGCCCGGGATCCCACATACGACACGTATTGCTATCTTGCAGCAGACGGATGATGGCAGCGACGAAGAAGCCGAAGAGGATAGGCTTGATAAGAGACAGCATCTACCGGTCTTGGAGTACGTGCTGGCAGGCGATGAATATAAGAATGAGGTTGTGAAGAAGATGAGTAGTGAGTCGCGAATTCTCGCAGCTTGAATACCCACCGCAGTGTTCCTGACATATACACGCTCCAAGTCTTGTCTCAGAGTTTCGAGTCCGATGATCCGCTACAACCTGTGAAGGCTATTCGGACAATACGCTATGATGATGTAGAGAAGCAGCTCTTCCTAGCACAGAAGATGGCCAGTCTGAGGAGTGGAGCGCGAGGGTTGCAAGCACGGAAAGAATTGAGATCTGTTGAAGCGAGATTGGAGGCATCGGTCGAACTGTAAGTTTCAGGGTCTTTTCAAGATCCGAGTGAAAGAGTCGAGCTAAAGACATTTCTTGCTCTAGGTTAAACCAGGCGAAGGAATCTATCGATGCCGACACACTACAGAAAGACACGCAAGCAGCAATGGAGGTTTTGCAGGAGTTGCAGTCTAAGGTGGAGGCTGTGAGTTTCGATCTCATCTCATTATTGACCATCGCTAATCACTGAATGCTTTAGATGACGCTGGTCGATACTGAACAGCAAGCACGTCAGATCCTTCGTGGTTTAGGGTTTCACGAAGAGATACTTTGCAAGCCTTTTTGTCAGTTGTCCGGCGGCTGGCGGATGCGATGTATGCTGGCCAGTGTGTTGATACAATCTCCGGATATCATGATTCTCGACGAACCGACCAACTATCTCGATCTCTTAGGAATTATTTGGCTGGAGAACTATCTCCAAGGGCTCCGTGAGCGCTCGCAGACAACAATTCTCATGGTCTCGCACGATAGAGATTTTGTGAATGCCGTCTGCGAGGAGATCATCATCCTCAGAGACCAGAAGCTTACCTACTTCAGAGGAAATCTGTCTGCGTACGAAAAAGACGTCGAGGACCAGAAACTACGCTGGGGCCGCATGAAGGAGGCACAGGAACGCCAAACCGCACACATGGAGGCCACCATCCGCGAGAACATCAAGGTAGGCAAGAAGACAGGTGACGAGAACAAATTACGTCAGGCCAAGTCACGACAGAAGAAGATTGAAAATCGCATGGGCATACAAGTCAGTGCCAACGGCGGCCGATTCAAGCTGAATCGGGACCTGGTTGGTTTCCACCTGACCGCGCGGGCAGAGATCGAGGTCCCAGTGGACGAAAGAAAACCGTCCATTGTGCTACACTCAGCAACTGAGTTACGATTTCCCGGTCCCTTGGTCTCCATGGAAGGGGTTGGGTTCCGGTACAACAAGCAGCAGGCCTCTGTGCTTGATGGTATCGAACTGGTGATACATATGGGAGACCGCGTGGGCATCATGGGTCTAAACGGATGCGGAAAGTCGACACTGATACGTCTATTGACTGGCAGCACGGTACCAACACATGGCAAAATCTTGAGTCATCCGAGACTGAAGCTCGGGTACTATGCACAGCATTCGATCGAAGACCTTCAGGAACAAGGCCGGTCGAAGCTTGATATGACGGCCCTATCGCTAATGGCATCAGATGTCAACGGTGCCCTCAATGAAGGCGAGATTAGAGGTCTTTTATCAGCATTGGGTCTCCAGGGCAGAGTTGTCTCTGATGTACCCGTCTGTCGACTTTCAGGAGGCCAACTAGTAAGTGACATATCAAAACCCAACCTTCTGCCATAGGTGATTAACCGAAGTTTATTAGGTTCGTCTAGCTTTGGCGAGGGTCGTTTGGACTCGCCCACAGCTGCTAATACTGGATGAAGTTACAACTCATTTGGACTTCGATACTGTGACGGCTCTTTCTGCTGCACTTTCTAGTTTCGATGGGGCTATCTTGCTTGTGTCCCATGACCGATATATGGTACGCTCGGTAATTGAGGGCAAGCGAGATATGGAGGAGAAAAGAGATGAGGAATCGGAGAAGGACAAGGCCTCAAATAAATCGTCCAGCCAACGACGAGTCGTACATGTGTTGAAATCCGGAAAGCTCAGGGAGCAAGAAGAAGGCGTGGAGCAGTACGAACGAAGCTTAGCGAAGGCAGTGCGGAAAATGCTGCCAACAATGAGCTAGGGAGCTGCTCCGTAAACTCGTGTGCTATCAGTCAGGTAGATTCCATAATAGTCTAATTGGTAGATCCCAGATTATTATTGTCAAATGGTCGATGTCAAGAAAAGATATACTGATAGCACGTGACCCACCGTCCAGCGGCAAACCCCGAGAACCCGCGGAGATGGCGGCGAATCCCAGCGCCCGCGATGATAAGACATTCCCCCTCAGCCATTCATTTAACAAACGCCTCTCGAGTCCCTGCTTTCTCCACCTGCATACACCCGCACCTGTATAGCGCTTCGCAGGTACAGCAAGATGCCAGGATCTGATACCCGCTGAATCGAGATCCCCGTCGAGGATGAATGAGCTCTTATTGCGCAGGCGGGGAGTTGCGCCCCTTCTCTCACTTCCCCGCAGATGTCAGCCCCGAACGAGCACGCTTATTCTGCCACACTTTCGAAGGCACAATACAGCCTCGAACTCGGTCTCGGTTGATCAACCCACCGCATCAGACTCATCTACGACATCGTTGCCTACTACTGAAATCCCCCCGTCCTCGAAGTCCTCCCCGTCGCGATGGTCGGCTCTCAAGTCTGCGAAACCCTTCTCGGAATTCCTCACCGATAGCTTCAACCGTCCACATGATTATCTCAGAATAAGCGTGACCGAGCGCTGCAATCTTCGATGTCTCTACTGCATGCCCGAAGAAGGTATAGAGCTATCGCCACCGAGCCGCCTCCTCACCACCCCCGAAATCGTCTATCTATCGTCGCTGTTTGTCGCGCAAGGTGTCACAAAGATCCGCTTGACTGGCGGTGAGCCCACCGTCCGGAAGGATATTGTACCCTTAATGCAGTCCATCGGCGAGCTCCGGCGGAACGGTCTCCGTGAGCTATGCTTAACAACAAATGGAATCTCCCTGCACCGCAAACTGGACGCTATGGCAGAGGCAGGACTCACTGGAGTGAACCTCAGTCTGGATACCTTGGACCCCTTTCAGTTTCAGATTATGACAAGGAGGAAAGGCTTCGATGCTGTGATGAAGAGCATCGACCGCATCCTCGAGATGAACAAGATGGGGGCGGGAATCAAGTTGAAAATCAACTGTGTGGTGATGCGCGGGCTCAACGACCGGGAAATCATTCCGTTCATTGAAATGGGGCGTGAAAATCCCATTGAAGTGCGCTTCATCGAGTACATGCCATTTGACGGCAACAAATGGAGCCAGGGCAAAATGGTCTCCTACCAGGAGATGCTGGCTATCATACGGGAGAAGTATCCCGCGCTGGAGAAGGTTGCAGACCATAAGAATGACACGAGCAAAACGTATCAGGTGCCAGGCTTTCAGGGTCGGATTGGGTTTATCACCAGCATGACCCACAACTTCTGCGGCACCTGTAACCGTTTGCGCATTACCTGTGACGGGAATCTCAAGGTCTGTTTGTTTGGAAATGCAGAGGTGTCGCTCCGCGATGTTATCAGGAAACAGAACAACGGCGAGCCTATTGATGAAGACGCCATGAAGAACCTGCGACTTTTGGAATCTGCGGCCCACACGACCGAGGTCCCACAGAGAGAACAAGAAGTGCTTGATATCATTGGCATGGCGGTAAAACGCAAGAAAGCGAAACATGCTGGCATGGGCGAGTTGAAGGACATGAAGAACCGCCCTATGATCCTTATCGGTGGGTAGGCGCGACCTCCTTTTCTTTTTGGATATTTGCATTTGGGCGAATGAGTTTCATGAATTATGATCAATGCATGTAGAAGGTGTCTCAGTATGTTTCGTGAACAAGGGGGTTCATAGCTGTGAACTGAATTTGGAAACTATATGATGATTGACTTTCTGGGATGCGTGCTGATGGATGGGCTATAGATAATGGAATTATGGGCAGTTCGATCAATGCCACTTCTTTGTACAATCCACCAACCAGGTTGGCATCGCCTACATGGGGAAGGATTCCTCTACACCTACTCTCCTCCGGTTCACAGGTCACCGCACAAGTCCGATATTATTCCCGTGCCCGTAATGACAACCCGTCTGTTGCAGACTCCCAACGGACAGACCCAGATATGGAAAGGGACGACTCAAACAAGATCTCCCTTTCCACAGCCTCTGATCCAGACTTGCCTCACCTCAACAGCTCGCAGCACGTGCACATGACCAAGATTGCAGAGAAGCCGGTGACGAAACGTCAAGCCACGGCTGCTTGTGTGGTGCAATTCTCCAACCCGCGGCCGTGGGAGATACTACGAGAGGGCCGTGGGACCAAGAAGGGGGACGTGTTCAGTGTCGCCCGCATCGCCGGCATTATGGCTGCCAAGAAAACCCCGGATTTGGTCCCCCTCTGTCACCCGGGGATTGGCATCACGGGCGTCGAGGTAGATGTGCGGTTACTGGACCCTGATGCTGCGGAAGCGCGTGCTTCGGACGGCTCAATGGGCCATGGGGCGATGCACGTCACGGCTACCGTGAGCTGCCTGGGACGAACGGGGGTCGAGATGGAAGCGATGACTGCTACGATGGGAGCCGCCCTGACGGTGTACGATATGCTGAAAGCGGTGGATAAGGGAATGGTGATCGGTGGCGTGAAGCTGCTGGAGAAGAAGGGGGGTAAAAGTGGGCATTGGGTTCGCCACGAAGTGGTCCAAGACAATGGAGAAGCTGAAGAAGGCGATTGATCGATTGATATGATCGATTGATATGGGGACCGTTATGTGTGTAATCCATTAGTTAGACGACAGTACTCAAGTTCGAGTAATTGAGTCATCAAGCCAGTCGAAAAGCATCGAATTGGAGTGACGTGTATTGGCCGTTTTTATTTTATTTTATTTTATTTTTTCTTTTGCTTTGATCGATCGCCAGCCTTACGAGTGGCCCAACGGTTGGTGAAGAAGCCAAGTCCGCCTTAGTTTGGATTCTCGGCCCGCCGCCTTTCCTCGAATCAACACAGCCCACCCACTGGCCACACCAAACTTTTTGCCCTTTTCTCTCGTTCCTCTCTGTTCCTTTTTCTCTCTTCCTTTTCCGGTTCCAATTCTTAACTCTTCTTTCAAGCAACACATTCTTGTCTACCGTGAAGGTCTTTAAAAATGGAATAACATACGCTTTGCCCCCGATTATTGACCCTAACTTTGCTCAACTCGGAAGTTTTTCGCAAAGATCTACGCTACTCGAACACTATACACTCCAACTGACCGTCTAATCTTGTCGATAACGGAACTGCCGATTGTTCTTGAGTACTTACTAGCATTTCCGGATCCCTGCTAGCTGTGCCGCTCCTATACTACTATCACTTTTACTACCACCACCACTACTATAATACAACAACCGCCACAATTCCGCCCACAATCCTCATTACCACCACCACTCATCACCGATTTAACCACTTTTTCTCTATTCTACAAGTCATCTCCCCGTTGGTGACTTCTTTCAACTGCTTTACAGCGCACCACCCAAGGAAACAAACAATGAAATTTCGGATAAAATTACGATTGATACAGATTTTGCAAAGTCCTTGTGGGTAGCGGTGTGCGCTTCCCCTCCCCCTCCAATCACCAAATAAGAGACATTCAACCACCAAAGCTCGAGTGGTTGTCATTACGATAAACGAAGCCGGTAGCTCGAGGCCCAGGGCTCCCGCTTCGTTGCCAGCGAGGCCTAATCCATCCCTCTCCATAAATTGCAATATACTCGGATAATCCGATCCATCAAGATGACAAGTAAGTTTCTTCCTTGCATAGCATCGCGACCATGTTCTGCTCCCCATGTTTCGTCTCACCCTCCCTTGCGTCTGGAATGGTGCAAGCAGGATCTGGAGGCTAGAACAGCCCTAGAACATGACGCCCTGAGGATCAGCGGCCTTGAACTTGATATACAAATGCTAACATGCCACCATCACAGACTGGAACTCGCGACGGCTCCTCGGACGGAGCATTATGGCGGTGCTTCCGCCCTTCAACTTCCTCACGCTTCATTATGCGTACTTTCTGGCGACGCCCTTGATCTGCAGTGCTATTTTCTGGGGTTCTGCCACCCCTGCGCGCAGTATTGCCTATGTCGACGCTTTATTTATGTGCGTCAGTGCCATGACTGGCGCTGGGCTGAATACTGTACGTTTCCAGCAATCCCCGTGTCCACCCCGGTCAAGAACATTCTCTGACTTTTGACCAGGTGGATTTATCCAAATTGAATTCATTCCAGCAATCCATCCTCTTTGCGCTGCTCTTGCTGGGACATGGAATTATGATCTCCATCACAGTGCTCTTCGTCCGGAGAAATGCTTTCCAGTCGAAGTTTAAACATATCGTGGACGAGCGTAAAAGAAGAAGCGCTTCGTCAACTAAGAATCCGAGCCAAATCGCTCGACTGGAGCCCGTCCATGAGAATGGAGTCGAAGAGCATGAGCAGTCACCAAAGTCAGGTGAATTTGTTCTTGACGAATCCAAAGTTACAGTGGCAGCTCGTGTCACAGCTGCGGATGCGAATGCGTCGTCCTCAGACGAGGACCAGATCAATTGGATTGATGATGACCAGGTCACTCTTGGTCATTTGAAAATCCGACAACACCACCATCGTGTCTTTCCCATGGTAGGAGTTGGTGCTCGCATGGATCTGAACAACCATCCTCGAGATGTTGTCCCACGCTCGTCGCAGCGAGAAGAGGAAGAAGAGAGTATGCCTGCGCTCAAAGGCATTTTGAAGGGAACGCAGAAGTATTTCGCGTCCAAGGGCATCATTTCACGCAATTCTCAATTTCACGGGCTTACCCCCGAGGAGCGAGAGAAACTAGGAGGCGTTGAGTACAGAGCCGTGTCCTTTCTACTAGTTATTGTGACTCTGTACTGGGTCATGTTTGTCATCTGTGGAATAGTTGGGATGGGCACATGGGTCGCAGTTAATCATCCAGAAAAGGCCCGGGAGAACGGGCTGTCGCCTTTTTGGACAGGCGCCTTCTTAGCAGTATCCGCTTTTGTCAACAGCGGCATGTCGCTATTGGATGCCAACATGGTTGCATTCCAAAGAAGGTATTTCTACTTACCGTGATTTTCTGGCTCGAAAGGCAACTGACTCCATCAGTGCTTACCCATTGCTCACCATGAGCTTCCTGATTTTGGCCGGCAACACTCTTTATCCGTGTTTCCTGCGTTTCATTATCTGGGTCATGAAATGCGTGCTGCCAAAGTCCCCATCGTGGGCCACATGGAGAGTCACTCTGGACTTCATCCTTGATCATCCTCGAAGAGTATGTGCAACTTGCGGTTGTCCATGCATGGTGTACTAACCTTCGTCAAGGTGTATACCAACCTCTTTCCGAGACGTCACACATGGTTCCTCCTGGCCACTATTATCATCTTTAACGCTATAGACTGGGCTGCTTTCGAGGTTCTTGCCATTGGCAACAAAGAGATCGAGAGCTTGCCTACAGGCTATCGGGTTCTCGATGGCCTATTTCAGGCTTCAGGTTCGTTGTTCAAGATTGTCTGTTCATTGAGCCTGAGCTAATCGATTTCATCTGCAGCTGTTCGTGCGGGAGGCTTTTATGTTGTGACGATAGCCGATCTGCGTCAGGGATTGCTTGTTCTATATGGTAAGCATTTTTCCATGCTCCACGCCGTTAACAACTGCTAATATTTCATAGTTCTCATGATGGTTTGTTTCTTGAAAACACCCTTGGTTGTGCTATAAACTGACTTTTATCTATAGTATGTATCAGCATATCCCGTGCTGCTCACTATGAGGTTTGTCGAACCGCTGCCCCCTATATCTTATATCAATCCATTCTAACGACCACCTAGAACTACAAACGTCTACGAAGAACGGTCCCTGGGCATTTACGCCCACGAACCCATCGGCGGCGAGGAAGAATCACGCCCGCAACCCAACCTCGTGATTCAGCTAATTCGACACCGCATGCTCGGCCGTCGGGACGGATCCAGCCACGAAGCCTCGCGGAGCTACTTTGTCCACCAGCAGCTGCGCTCCCAGCTGAGCCACGATCTCTGGTGGATCGCGCTGGCCGTCTTCCTGATCAGCGTCGCGGAATCCGACCACTTCTCGAAGCAGCCCGTCGCCTTTTCGACTTTCAACATCATCTTCGAGATCGTCTCCGCCTACGGCTGCGTGGGTGTCAGCGTCGGTTACCCGGGCTCGAACGCCTCCTTCTGCGGCGCCTGGCACCCCATCAGCAAGCTGATCCTGGCGGCGGTGACCCTGCGGGGTCGCCACCGGGGCCTCCCGGTCGCCATCGATCGCGCCGTCATGCTCCCCAACGAGTCGCTGGAGTGGGCGGAGGAAGAGGATGCGGCGATGCGGCGGGAGCAGTCCCGCGCGTGGGGGGCGGAGAAGATGCCCATTGGGTCGGTTTAGATCGTGGAGGTGCACGTGGGCACTGAAGATTGGACTGTTGGAGATGATGATTGAGATTGCCCTCCCTGTATGAGGGCTGTTTGCTTGAGATTCGTGATTTGATCTTCATGCTTTGGCTACTGCTCTGCTTCTGAGATTCTGTTGCTTTATGTTTCTCCTGATTTCCGACTACATCGATAGTCATAAAAGTTCAATGCTATTCGAGTTCCAAGTTACCGATTGGCTATTATTCTCCAATGGTAGTACAAGAATCTACAGATGTAGCACAAAGATGGATCTTGAACTTTTCATATTGACATAAAAAAAAACAAACTTGGACGCAGTGGGTTTCCCGATAGCTACATAGAGTATAAGGTATAAAAAGAAACAACATTAGAAAGCTTGAGGCGAGTCTAATCCTCCTCTTCTTCGAACTCCAACTCATCCTCGTCTTCCTCTTCCTCTTCTTCCTCCTCCTCTTCCTCCTCTTCTTCACTACCCTCCTCATCAGAAGAAGCATCCACACCATCAACCTCCTCCTCACCCTCCTCATCGTCCTCATCCTCACTACTCTCATCATTCTCACTAATGACATCATCCATAATCACATCCCTCGCCGCCTCAGCCTTCTCCTCCGCGCGCCGCTTCTCCTCCTCCAACCGACCCTGCTCCAACAGCGCGGCCTTCTCCTCCCGGAGCTTCCGCTGAGACTTGACAAAGGCGCCGAGCGGGGAACTCTCCCAGTCGACGTCCTTGAGGAAGGACTCGACCTCGGCGCGGTTGCGGGGGGTGTAGGTGACGGCGAGACGCTTCTCCTCGATCCAGCGGGCGTTGGCTTCGACCTTTTGCACGAGCAGCAGGATCATCTGGTTGATCTTGGTGTTCTTGTTGCCACCGGAGCGGGCGCTGACTTGCTTGAGCCAGCGCTTGAGGGCGACGACGACGGGGACGCTCAGCTCCGGGAACGCGATGTGCTTGGCCCACAGCACAAAGAACTCGGAGAGGAGCTCGGCGACCTGCTCGCCGACACCGTCCTGGTACACGCGCGTGCGCAGGTAGGATTTGGGCGCCCGGATCGCCGTGCTGAAATCGAGCTGGCGCAGGGTGCTCGTCTTCGGGGGCTTGCGCATCTCGGCGAGGTTGAGGACCTCCAGCAGCGCGGAGGCCAGGGGGATGTAGGTGCCGGTGGTGCGGGAGAGGCGCAGCAGGGCGCGGGTGAGCTGGAAGCGCAGGGGGAAGTACTGCGCCGTCGGGATCAGGCGCATCGCGCCGAGGGTGATCTGGACGACGGGGTAGATGAGCGGGCGCAGCGCGGAGGGCTTGCCGGCTTGCGCTTCGACCAGGGCGTCGCAGTGCTGCGCGAGCACGCGCGACCAGAAGTCGAGCGAGTGCACGTATTGCCAGTTGTAGACCGTCTTGTAGGACTCCTTGGAGGTGTTGGTGATGCTGCTGCGCAGGTGCATGGCGAGTTGGCGGACGAAGCTGAAGCCCGTGGTGTAGGAGACGTTCTGGTCGATTCCCCAGAGTTCGGCGGCCGAGTTCTTCATCAGGTTCACGCCGGCCAGCGTGTGCACGGTCGTGTTGCGGCTGCCCTTGACCACGCCCTCGTACGAGGCCTTGAGCACGGCCTCCTTGAGTCCGGCGTCACCGATGACCATCAGCCGGCGCAGGATCAGGAAGGCCGTGATCCGCGTGGCCTCGGTCGTGGACACGTCGGCCCAGATGCCGACGATCGTCTTGATGAGGACTTTCAGGAGCTTGCGGAATTGGAGGAGGTACGGGAGCATGGGTTCGATCGAGGAGAGGGTGAGCTTCAGGGTCTGTTCGTCCGACAGGTTGGTCAGCAGCTGGTGCACCGACGAGGTGTGTGACTTGATGAGCGGCGTGAGCGTCTTGAACTTCTTCGAGTCCATCGACATCCGCACTTTGCCCGAGGCGCTCTCCTTGACAGGCAGGTGATGCGAGAGAACCCGCGGGATGTTGTTGAGCGCCGTGACGAGCACCTGGTGATAGACGTTCGAGTCGGAGATCTGGTACTTGTGCTCTTCGGTGCCCTCGCTGACGTAGGCCGCCGCGCGGAAGGCCAGCACCGCCTGGCGCATCGCCCGGATCGAGTGCTGCTCCTCCATCAACTTCTGCCACTTCTGCACCATCTCGAGGGTCAATGTGTTGTCTTGCGTCTCCTCCTCCTCTTCTTCCGCCTCCGCCTTGGCCTTGGAGCCCTTCTTCTTTTTCTTCGCAGGACCTTCTTCCTCCTCTTCCTCTTCGCTCAGCTGGTCGACCTCGGCGAGGTCACCATGGTCACCGAAGTCGAGCAGCTCGGCATCGTTCTCCTTCAGGTACTTGTAGAATTCCGGATCCTTCTCCTTCAATGCCTCGAGCTGACCCTTGTGCGCCTCGAAGTCGTCCGGGCCGCTGCCCTCGTCATCGCTGCCATCTTCCTCGGCACCGCTGGAAGCCGCGGCGGCCTCCTCCTCCTCCTCCTTCTGCTCGTCGGAGCGCTTGCGCTTGCCGATCTTGGGGGTGACGGCCTTCTTGCGACCCTTCTTGCTCAACTCGGCCGCCGAATCGGGGATGTCGAAGCCGCCCGCGAAGAAATCGTCGACGTTCATTTCCGCGAAGTCCTTCTGCTTCTGGACCTGGTCGGTGTCCTCCTCCGCATCGTCCTCCCGCTCCGCCCGCTGCTTCGCATTGTCGGCCTTACGCTTCTCCTTCAGGTGGTTGCGCTGCTTGATCTTGGCGGTGGCCTTTCGACGCTCGAGAACATCCTTCAGATGCTTTTTCTCGAACTTCTTCGTGGACTTCTTCTGACCTCCAGCCATGATGCCGGAATGTTCCCTTCACGAGGTTTTCGTGGAGAGAGAGAGATAGGTGTAAAATTGGGGGGAAGAAATCCAAGAGATGAGAAGAATCCCGCGAAATCTTAGGGAACCCGGGAAAAAAAATCTGGAGAACGGAAAAAAATACATGTTGCGGCAGAATCGAGCGGTGAGCGGCGATTCTCATCGGGTGACCGCCTTGGGGGGTGATGGTTTCCCCTCATGCGGGACACCGTCCAGTCCAGTTCGAGCATCAATAGTCTGTCAATCGATCAAGACTTCCTCGCTTCAACCATGTATGCGCAACGGCCTTTGTCCTATGCTCCGACGCCTTACAGCTATACGCCCAATCCGGCGCTGGCTGCGTCCATCAACCTCGATGAGGTAAGCTAGAGCCGTACGGTCTGTTTGCTGGGTCGCAGCTGGCTGACTGGTCACATTACGCAATGCCAGGAAGTAAAGCTAGCTTCTAGCTCGGCGGAGCGCGATCTTCACGAATCCCTAGCGGAGATTTACAGTATCATTGTCACTTTGGATGGCCTTGAGAAGGCTTATATCAGAGATGTGGTCACAGAATCGGAGTACACAGAGACCTGCACTCGCCTACTGAAGCAGTACAAGTCTAGCTTGGGAGACGATATCGTAGCCGGAGAATTCGTCGACCTCGAGACTTTCAAGCGCAAATGGGGGGTGAGTATATTCTCAAGAACTCGGGCCATTCAAACTGATCGTTTATGCGCATCTCTAGCTGGAATGCCCCCGTGCCACCGAGCGTTTACGAATCGGGCTCCCCGCCACAGTGGAACAAGCGACTCATAGTACCCCCGCGGCGAACATGGCCCCGGCAGCAACAGGCCCGCCAGGCGGCGCTTCTGGCACCTTGATCCTGACAGCCACCGAGAATTTTATAACCTTCCTCGATGCGCTGAAATTGAACATGGTCTCGAAAGATGCGTTGCACCCTCTGCTCTCCGAAGTGATCCAGTCCGTCAACAAGGTGACCGACGCGGACTTTGAGAACCGGGGCAAGATCATCCAGTGGCTGATCACATTGAATCAAATGCGAGCGACTGAGGAGCTCAGTGAAGAGCAGGCCAGAGAACTGTCCTTTGATATCGAGCAAGCGTACATGGGGTTCAAGTCGACTTTAGGCTGAGCCGGCCAATTGAGTTTGGAGGGGATGAATGTCTTTTATCTTACAGCATTGCGCCTGGGCGTTTGGGGTTAGATACCCACCGAGTTTTTCCCATGTTTTCTTGATGTCTAGATGGTGATCTCCGGAGCGTGTATTTTTGATCAGATGCAAAACGTGGTTATCTGGTTATCTCGGGACGTGAAGGTTCAACTGCGCCGGCGGAGCGGATCCGATCCGCGGAACAACGCACACCAGCCTTTCCTCTTCGGGCAATCTCGACTTTTTTTTTGCAGGCCCAGATCTTCTATCCTCATCGCTCATTTCGCCACAGATCCGGGGCTTATAAGAAAGAGAGCAGCTTCACCGTCTTCTATACCATTTAGTATCCCGTTCTGTGCAGCCAGGTCGTCCCTCCGCATACCGACATCATGATCAGCGCCGATCCCGACGAGCCTATCCACGGTGCGTTTGCCCCTCCACTTTAGCCCCTGATAGATAGGAGCGATAATGAGCTGATAAGCCCGTCGCAGTGCTCGATCTTCCCCAGATCCATACTAAGCCCTCAGGCACCGAACTCATCCAGGCTCTCAGTCTCTTGACAACAAAGCCGCGAAGCTTTGGTCTCAAAGCCCCTGAAGCGGTGAGGGCGCAGGCCGTCCACCCGGCCGGTATCACCCGCTATTTGACCTCGATCATCTCGAGTCCCCTGGCATGGCTCGACACCGAGGAGCTTCGAGAGGCTGTCTGGGACGCCGCTGCGGCTAGACTCAGCGAGCGCTCAGGTCGAACCGGTACGTAGGATGCAGCGTAGCTTGTCATTGTAGCCGTGATCATCACCACCGGCCGAGAGGGCTGGCTGGGTCGATAGAGTATCCGATCTGACACTCACCACACAGCAATGCCCGCCATGTCACGAGTCTTCATGATCCCGACCTCCCATGGCGAAGAATACACGCTCACCTTGCACGAACCATCCCTGACGAGCGACAACCTGGGCATGAAAACCTGGGTCTCATCCTACCTCCTCTCCATCCGCCTGCACTCCCTCCTCGAATCCCCCCCGCAACTCGTCCCCACCGCCACTACCACGCCGCAACTCCACCCCGAGCGCACCCTCCGCGCTCTCGAACTCGGCGCCGGCACCGGCCTTGTCGGCCTCTCCTTTGCGGCCCTCCGTGGCCCCTCCGCTAGCATCCACCTCACCGACCTCCCCGCCATCGTGCCCAACCTCGCGCACAACGCGGCCCTCAACGTCGAGCTGCTCAACCGCACCGGCGCAACGGTCACCACCGGCGTGCTGGACTGGTCCGTGCCGCCGACACCCCTCCCCACGCCCGCCGAGCAGTACGATCTCATCCTTGCTGCCGACCCGCTGTACTCGCCCAACCACCCCAAGTGGCTCGTCGACACGGTCACCCACTGGCTCAGCCGGGGGCTCAACGCCCGCGTCGTGGTCGAAATGCCCCTGCGCGACGCATACCTCCCGCAGGTGCAGGACTTCCGGCAGCGGATGGGCCAGCTCGGGCTGGCGGTCGTTGACGAGGGCGAGGAGGTCGGCTATGATGACTGGGAGTCGGCCGATGGCGGGGCCCTAGAGGTTCGATGCTGGTGGTCCGTTTGGGGGTGGAGTGAGAAGCTATAGCCAGTCTGCTTGCGCCCTCAGCTTCCACCTTCCACGATTCCTCTTTTTCCTTTACCACCACTTCAGGTGGTGGTCCAGGCAAAGCCACCCAGCGATTTATATTTCCACGACGTCACGAAAAACATATTCGCATCATATATAGCATCAACAGCACCAGCATCAGCACTAGCGACTGCCACACGGCATCAAGCAAAGCGTGATAGAGATTATACATCGGCTAGAGCGGATTAATTCGCACATGGGAGAGCCCGGTTTCACCGTCGCAAATCTAGAGCTAAGTAGAGCGTTTAGAGCGTTAGATATAGCATGTCTCAAGATTCGGTGTATAGATCTATCTGTTTCACTTGTCACTCACAGAAACAGTGATTATCGCTTATACCGTATACTTCGGAAGATCCACACACCTCTCTTAAGATGTCGATACAAAATGATTGTGCAGACGGGAAATCGTTCTGCGCTAAGTTTGAATCTGTTTGGTGTGTGCTCCAGAGCTTTAGGTTAGTTTGCTCAACACGATGTCGGAGCGCATCAGCCCGTGACTTGTGTCAGGTAAGCTTTTCTGGATGTCATGTGTGAGGCTCCTAGAGGTAGAGAGGGGAGTCTGTGATCGAGCGTGCCCACCTCGTTTCCACATTGGAAAGGGTTTTCCACGCCTTCCCCTTCAACAGGTACTATGACTTAGAACTCCTGTGTGTGCCTCTTCCTCTCGAAGCAGACTTCCTATGCCAGTTTTGTTTCCGGGTTCTAGGAGCACGCAGAGGCTCGATAGCTGCCGCATCATTGCTTCGTTGCACTTATTCCATCACATTGGCTGTTGGATATGGGCTTGGCATTATTGTCGGGGCCCACCCTTATACTTGCTGTCCAGTTTTATATATAAATTAGCTTATCATAGGTAAGTCAGAACTTGTTTAATATACTTAATTAATATACCTGAATTTTATTATTTTAATAACGAAAATAGCATCTTAATATACAATATAAATGTAAGGAAGGAACAATAGGATTTATTCAAAACAATAGCTGTTCGGCCAACATCACCCGCAGTCCCTATTCGTATAGAAGTAGGATAGGCTGTAGAGAAAGCACACTGGACTCCTAGAACGGTACCGTATAACGAAGCCTTCGGTACGTTCTAGGAATTTACCTCTCTTCCTGATGGTTTCCACTCGTTGTCTGCAGACTATACTGCAGGCATAGCACATGATCCTAGCTTCCCACGTTCGCATACCTAGCACTTGGTATCTACAAGACCGGAATCTGCATTCGAAATGCCAGAATTCTCGGCAGCCACGTCTGCATGGGCGGCATCCCAGGCTTTCGTCAGAAGGGGTCCGTGGAGCCAGTACCCACCGCACGGACACTTGAAAGAACATAGGGCGTTCTTCAGATTAGGAATTGTGAGGTCGAACATAGGAAAAACCTTCAGCTCTTCACATGAGACGAACCGAGTCTTGCCCGGTGCTGTGAAGGCTGCTGTCGCAACCTCGTCGGGTGCGATCGCATCCCAGGAAGTTAATGACAACCACGGATTTGGGGAACCTACTTCCTTAGTCAATGGATATGTTAGAGAGAAGCGGTCTCTGGCCTGTTTGCCAAGGGCAGATTGCAAACTGTCGATCTGTTTGGAAGCATCGATCATCGTGCGAATTTGCTTGGAGATTCTTGGGATCGAGAGGTTGCCCTCTCCTGGGCTCAAAGTCAGTGAAGAAATGATGAAGCTATTTTCGAGTACATTCTGGTGGGCTGATTCGTCGAGCAATGCTGAAACCCTGATCGGGATCACAATGTTGAATGGTCGCCTCTTCGGCCCCGGGGAAGTTGATAATACCTGCAGAAATGTTGACGTTAACACACTTCAGGTTTCTGAAACTCATGCAACAAAACCTACTATTCGTGCTATCCAAGCTGTAAGTGTGTCATGTGTAGTCACCCGAATGCCTTGGGCTGAACAGTCGTCTTGCCATTTTCGAACGAGTTGCTCGGGCACATGCACTCTACCGTCAATCCGCTCCTCGAAGAAGTATCGGAATGTCTCCTTGCTGAGACTCCATCCTGCGGTGAATGATCCTCTCACTGCATCTCCGATTGTGAACGCGCGGCAATCTTCGTCGACCATCGGCCATTTGAGGCTTGTCGGGCCCCCCCGGCACTGACCTAGCTGCACGCTTCTTGGTCTCCTTCTCAAGGGACCAACTGTTCTTCCTTGTGTGATATCACAGTATGCACGAATGATATTTTTGAATCCTGGGAGAAGAGGGAAAGCCCCCAAATACGTCAGCGAACTGTCCCCAGTTCTATATCAAACAATCAAGCAGAGCATACCACCGCCATCGCAAAGTGAATGGTCAATATGAAATCCTATCACAGACCATCCCTCCATCCTGGTCACACTGATAACAAACACTCGGGGCCTCAGCTTTCCTAAGTCGACCTTCTTCGCTATCAATTTGCAAATGAGGCGTAATAAGGATGGCGTGAAGCATATAGAGCCCACTTGGTCGTAAATACCAAGATCACGTTGTTCAATATTGACAGCTTGAAATCCAGGAATCTTGGTATACGCATAATCACTTATTTCTCGCCGCTGGAGAGAACCTTTGGGATGAGTGATTTCTGATGTGGAGACTTCCATTTGGCAGATAACTCACCCTGATGTCAACGGAGCCCTGCAGGATAGGCCACTTCTCCACCAAGGCATCATAGCAGCTTCGCAAAAAGGATAGCTCGTATTCTTCGATAAAGGGGATATAGTAAGATATCTGGGCCAACAACATTCCATGAAAATCCAACTCGTGAAGGTATTCATGGTGAGCCATTGTGGCGTATACCGCATATGGCGCGCTTTCCGGTCACTCTGTGATTTGAGGAGGAATTGTGATGTGCAGTTGACTAAAGACGTCCAGGTTTGCTTCTCAACCGGCTGACTTGGATAGATGATCACACCGGTGGCATGTATCAGTCGCTTGCTGCTCGATATATGATGCTATGATTCTATGAAGGTTCTGACCCTCATTCCAGGTTCCGGGGATTTTCTTTTCGGTGTTGGTTTCACATTGTTTGCAAGACTCAATAGACTTTGCTTATGTAGCACTGGTTCTCCGAAAAACAAGTATTGGGACTATCTGACATCATGGATGTAAATATGCTTCTCCGATTGTCGGATTATTCTCTGAACTCTGTACATTCCGACTATTCGCTTTATTCAGAGGAGATCTTCGAAGCTCGACGCAGAAGACAGATCTCGGTGTAGTGCGCGAGGTGAATATTTCTACTGAGTAGGTGGCATACCTGCATACCAAAAACCGAGATGAGGATTTGAAGCAATCGATGAACTGATATGACCGGTTCTTCTCTTGAACTGTGTGCCTTGGTCCTGTGCTCAAAACAAGATTCTGTCGAAAACCTACTGCTGTCATACACCTCAGCCGCGCCCTCTTGGTCCAGCTGGGCCCTCCGTCTGAAGGAAGTCGCCATTTAACCATCGACGCCTACTACCGAACCGATCATGAGACCTATGCTCAGACCATCTCAGCTACAACATCCTTAGAGATCAACACGGTGGCGACTATACTCAATGATCGAGTCCTAGACACACTAGACTCGGATGTTTCATGTGCCTCGGAGGTGACTCGCTCGCTTCTTGTGGGGGGCCGCTGGAAGAAATCTCTCTGGAATAGGGCTGCGAAAAGGTTTGAAGTGGAAGGTGTGCAGGAGCCTGCCTTCCTGGTGAGCCATTACTCTCTAGTCTCGGTGGTTCTGGAACGGGTTTAAGGTGCAGGTGCCTTGCAAACGTTCAGCGATTGTGATCCTGGAGATTAGGGTTGGGTTGTACAAGTACGACGCATACCGTCATCGTGATAACAGAGACGTTTTCTCGATGCACAGGCCATCATTCGGCTGGAAGAGCACAAGGAGCCAGTCCGATTCCCGCATGAGACACGGTACAGACCAATTATGATCGTTGCTGCAACATAGACAGAGATCTTGACCACAGGCTTTCAGGTGGTCAAGGTATTCCGGAAACATGATCCATCTGGATGTGTTGGAAACCAAGTCAACCATAGTTGAGAAGCGCAGATCGGAGGTTTCCCGAAGCTAGGGAGCAGTGCCAGTGCAATAGTGTCGCTGGAAGGGCGCGCCTACAGTGACAACGGGGGATTAACGGCAAGCCCGTTCGGATAGCCGCGGATTACCCGGGGAACAATTGAACTGCCTCCTTGTTCCCGCCGGGAAAAAAAAAGGTTCTTCTCCCAACTTGTCACACCGCGGCCCGGAACCTGGCCGAGATGGCGATCCATACATGGTAATTCTTGGTTCTTCTGTTCTCTGCTTGTTTCGGAGTCTGCCGTCAATTATCACCGGTGAGCATTATTGCATGTGATCAATGGTATGTGGTATTACGCTAATCTAGTCATGAATCGTAAGGTCTGGTGGAAAAATTGCAGTACTCAATGTGATCACTCAGCGCATCATGCGTCCTCCCCCATCATCTCTTCGGCATTCCGCCGAAACACTCGATCTGCCAGTCCAGGCACATTTTCGCACAGGCGCAGACACGTCTCTGTGAATGGCTCAATGTCCATCCCGGCAAAGCGCGTATGAGGCCAGTCGGTTGCATAGAGGACTCGGTCCGGGGCCACACGCAGGAACTCTTGCGCCATTACCTCCAGATCGCGGTATTGTCCATCCTTGCTGAGACGGTACGGAGCGGAGATCTTGACGTATGTCTTTCCAGCTTGGAGGAGAGATATCAAAGATGAAAACCCCGCCAGGCTGTATGGATCGAATGACGCTGCACCTTGCAAAGGGTTGTCAACTGTTGTCAAATCCGGGCTTCCAAAATGATCAATGCACAGCTTGACGCCTAGCTGAGGGACTATTCTCTCTAGGATTGGGACCATTTCCAGCGAAACATAGACTTGGATGACCCATCCGAGGGGCCGGATGACCTGCGCATGTTGCAATAGCATTTCTGTCAAGTCACGTTCATCAAGCACCGTGTCGACAGATTTTAGGTTCACCCGCACGCCCCGTACACCTATTGAATGCCAATCTGCGAGTGTCTGGGAATCAATTGTCGCCGGATCAATCACCACAACCGCACGCCCACGGGACGGCCCCACGTGTCTGAGTGCCTCCAAAAGACAGGAATTGTCCGTTTCGTATATTGACGGCTGGACTAGGATGATTTTTCCTATCCCCAAAGAAGATTCAAATGCCATGGCCTCTTCGATCGTATGCTTCGAAGGCTTGTACACCGCGTTGAGGGAGACGGGGAAGCGCTGCGGGTCAACAACGTGCATGTGCGTATCCCATGTTCCTGTTGGTATGCGATGCTTGATTGGGGAGGCCCGTGTAGTGACTCTGCATATGTCTCTGTGGTTATAACTGCTCTTGTCTTGTTTGAGCGATGTCGTGCTGAGTAGAACTCGGGTGTTGCCGAAGAGACCAGCCCTGGGCTTGAAGTCTGTGAGTACTTTGGTCATAGAGGGCAAAGTCATGATACTTGATGCGAAGAACGAGGGGAAAGCTGTCAACAGGACATGAGCTTCGACTCGGGACGGTATGAACTCACGAAAGTCGTGTCTTGCAACCTTCCCACTACTCCCTTTATAAAGCACGCCTGTCGAGACATGGTTGACATGAAAAAATTACTGAAACCGTGAACCGGGAGGGGAATCCCCCGTTCGGCGACAACAATTGTGGATACGTAAAGTATCACGGCAGACTCCGCATCGGCTTGCCGATTGTTTTGTAGAATACTGGGGACGGCCCTAGCTCGGCCTAGGCAATAGTCAAAGGCCAAGAGTAAGAGAGCCAAAGTAAAATATATGGACGGAGTTCGCGACCCACAAGAGCAGGGCTGATCACAATATGTATTCACACTTCTCAGTGATTATTGTGGGAACCCCAGGAGGGGTGAAAAGGTCGGACTTTGACCGCGAGCTAGATGAAAGAAAGGGGAAGGCAAAAAGGCCAATAATTGCATTCCATATCTCCGAAGGATGATCCGTGAGACAGTGAGACTAAGTTGTTCGCGGACAGTTCCTGGAAGAAGTGGCACCTGCCGGTGGATGCTGGCGGTGCGAGCCGCCGGGTGGCATTTTTCCGGCCACCACTCGGAGGTATTGGGAGCAGACGCCTCCTATGAATCGTAGCAACTAACGAAAGAGTTTCGCAAAGCCCGTTGATCAAATCATGGTGCGCTGGGCGCAGACAAGTCACACAAGGGTGCATCTGAGATGCAGAGAAAGTGGTACATGAGACACCGTGACGATACAATGGAGCATTGGAGGAAGGCGGAAGTTGACCGAGAGGCAGAAAGTCACGCCCCCCGCGGAGTGGAGTGGATAATTTCTTCCCCCTCTCGACCTCATCTCGGCTCCTCGTCCACTCTAATCTCGTCGCCTAAATTGTGGTCATTCATAGCGTGGCCCTGGCCAAGTGTTCCACTCTTAGACTGGAGCTTTCCCCAGATTCCCTTTGATCGGCCTTAATACCTTGTTTCCATCGTTATATCTTTAATTGTCCTGGGCCGGTAGCCCGTCTCCCCGCGTTGACGTCGCCTGGCGCCATCATGGGATGGGCGGCCCTCGACTGGTCGCGGTGGACTACTAATCCTTTCTACGCCTTGGTCATTCTCATTATCGCATGTGGAAGCATCCCCAAAGGTATCGTTCCCCAATTGCTCTTTCTCCGTCTGGACTCGTCATCGACTAACCGCTTGGGCTCTGTGCTGCAGGCTACGATGAGGGCGGGTTTAGTGCCAGCACCAAGCTCGAGTCATTTCAAATCGACTACAATTTGGTACAGTCTCACTGGGAACACGATGCTGCTGGACTGGCCAGCCGCAAAGCCAATATTACGTCTTTCAATGTGCTAGGAGCAGCGTTTGGCGCCTTGTTCTCTCTGGATTTGAACGACCGCCTCGGCCGATTGCCCGCCTGGCGTTTGGCTTGTCTGGTTTGGGCATCGGGCCTGTTTGTTCAGATCTTTTCATCGGGGATTTATGGACTGTTGCTCTTCGCCAGAATTTGGGGTGGTCTTGGAGCGGGCGCGTTGACAGTGGTCGCCCCGTTGTATCTCTCGGAAATCGGTGGGTGATCGCTCGATCGCTTGATCGCTTGAGATGTCAAATCTAGGCAAAGCTAATCGTGCTTAGCTCCTGCGAAGACCAGAGGCTTGGTCGTGAGTACTTTCATGGTCATTTTACTACTTATTCTAGCCATGGGTATGATGTTTAAACTCCACTACCCACCTTTGTGCCAATCGCGGTCTAACGTTATAACTCGACAGGCTTCTTCATCAATTATGGCGCTACATTGCACATGGCTGCCACCCGCACGCAATACCAATTGGTGCAGTCTATCCCACTAATACCTGTTGGAATCGCCTTCTTCGCCTCCTTCGTGGTTCCGGAAACACCCCGCTACCTAATCTCAAAGCAACGCTATCAAGAAGGACGTACCGTTTTGGCTCGTCTTCGTGGCAAGCATATCACTGATCCTGCTGTGGAGGATGAATTCAATGCCATCAATGCTCAAGTGCGAGAAAAGGCAGCAGATCTGAAGTCGGTGTCACACTGGCAAGCATTCAAAGAATCTCAGAAAAACCCAAACTACCGCCAACGGTTTTGGCTTCTCATGATCATTCAAACAATAGCACAATGGACTGGAGGTAACGGAATTACCTACTATATTGCCACTATTTTCCAGTACGCTGGCGTCACTGGAAATGCCAACTCCTTGATATCTTCTGGCATCTATGGAATCATCAAACTTGTCTTTACCATGGCTTTTACATGGGGTTTGATTGATTACCTGGGTCGCCGCCGCTGCACCTTGGCTGGGCTATCTCTCCAGCTGGTTGCCCACATCTACATGGGCATTTACATGGGTCTCCGACCCGGTTCAAGCAACAATCAGTCGGCCTCCAATGCCGCTATTGCCTCCGTGTTTGTATATGCCATTGGTTGGTCCATCGGACTTTGCACTGTTCCCTATCTTTACGGAGCGGAAATTTTCCCCACTCGCATCCGTAATGTTTGTTACGCCCTGAGCATGACACTACATTGGTTCTTTCAGTTCGCCGTCGTGCGGGTCACGCCGAATATGTTTGTCTCCTTGCATATCTGGGGTGCTTACCTCTTTTGGTCCATCATTTGCTTTTCGGGACTCATCATCCTTGGTGTATTGATGCCGGAGACTAAAGGCGTTCCCATGGAGCGCATGGGCGATTTATTTGACTACCCGTGGTACTTACGCTGGCGTGCCAAACCGACAGATGCCTCAATCGCTTCGTCCTCTGCAGCTGATGCAAGCTCTTATACCGCTCTCCCGGGTCAATTTGACCATAAACATGCCAACTTCAAGGATCGACATTGCCAACCTTGAGTCAAGTGAGACTGACATGCCCTTCGCCAAATAATAAATTAATATACATCTCATGTACTGTGGGAATATTTACTTCTTAAAGGCTTTCATCATCTCTTGTCTACGAAGTGGAATTTTACACTACACCTACCGATTCCACACTACTTTCGTCTGATTTATGACAGAACTATCTGGTGCAGAGACGTCTTGCATGGTTACAAATACAAGCAGAAAGGTCTGTCGTATATCCATAATTATTCTACACAAGTATAACCATGCAAAAGAGCGATTTGTGTTTACTCAGCCGATCCGACGACGGGCGTATGATTCTCAGTGTAAGGCTGCAAGCGATAGATGATTTCTTCATGTGTCTCGCTCTCGGCATAGAATAGCGGATCCGTGTTCATGTCATCCCTTTCCATCCCATCAAAAGGATTCTCATTAAGCAGTACGCGTACCAGTTCAATATGGCCTTTTCGTCAAGCCTCAATCAAAGCTCTCCAGGCATGGTCCTTCTTGACTTCGTCGAAGCCAAGATAGCATTCCAGGAACAGCTTGATCATCGCTCTATAATCCATTGTTTACTGCAAGAAACAAAGGGGGATACTCCGCCTGCTGCTGCAACAAAAAGAGGAAGCTCCCATGGAAGCAGAATCTCCGCCATCTTCTTCCACCTTTAGAGGAGGGGCAGATGAAACCGACAGGCCGATCGTCTTCAAGGGGCAGATTCAGTGCATAATCTTCAAACGGGAGACTGAACGTGGATGCTTCTAATACGGGCATTGAATGGTTCGCAGCAGAACAATATTTGACTTTACACGGAAGCAATCAAATTGTCTTAGCAGTCGAAAACTCTCGGCTTCAGTCATTTAGATTGATCGTTGGATTGCGGGGCTTTTTCCGGGGAGGCGATTGAGGCTATGTTTACAGCCACAGGATTTTTGATAGTGGGACCAAGCTTATTGTTCTTCCACTAGCACGCCCGACATGGCCATACGACCTAGAGACTTTCTTTACTCGCGGCAAATGCTTGCTACTTCGGGTTCCCATTCGAGCAGCGTCCGCTACTAGGATCGAGATCTATAATAGCAACGATGATCAGCGGCCTGGCTTATATTGCATGATACATGAATGAGGCCTTTCTATCATCTACATACAAACGGGGAAACGAGATTCGAGTATGTATTGGAAAGCGCAAACAACAAAGTAAGACAAGAGAACACTGCAGGATAGTGGCGTCGCTCATGGTCGGAGGCCCAATTTATTCGGTCACACATATGCACGTGTAGGTTACCCCGGACTGCCTCACCTCTTCGACACCTTCGCTGCCCCATCTGCCCGTGGCGAAGCAAGCAGTCACCAACAGGCTTAGGGCTCTGGAAGACCTCTGACTTTTCTTTCCTAAGAGGGTGTCGCTTGCACAGAGTCTAGTCAAGATTGAACGGGTCCTGATGCATCCTTGTTAAGGATCGGTCTTTGGAGTTGGTGAGGGAAGGCTCTGGCTCCCTGACCATCTACTGCACGTTCCCAACTCGTCGGAAACCCTCCGATTGTCCTTGACGGTTCGCTCAATCAAAGCCATCACGGATGAGACTCTAGGTTGTTACTTAGGTTTCTGAAAAGACTTCCTCGAGATTATCCTATGAGTTTCATGGCCATGGTCTAAAGCCCCTCGACCTCAAGATTACGGCCAAAGCCATAACGAACAATGAAAGTAGGGTTGCTACTAAGCTGGTGGGTTGGTTTCGCAAAGTCCTTCCCGACCATGGAAACGGCCCTGAGTCGGGGCAACGGGTTTCGACCTCGATAACCGATGAATTGTATTGATGGAAAAGGCTTATGTACAGTACTCCTGTAACTTATGCCTTCGCAGCCGTCAATTTCCTAGCCACAGCAGTATATTGCAGACCAAACCAACCCATTACTGAGCCCTGAACATTCTGAGTTGTCCTTGGAGGATGACCTTACCCGAGTACATCGGCACCCATATCCGGTGCGCAAACGGATTTGCGTCCGTTCGTGACACAAGCCATAATTAGTAGTGCAGTGATTCAATAATCTGCCACATACCTGGTCTGATATGCTCGAGCCGAGAACTCCCGGGTATTCCTTGTCCCCGGCACTGCCGATGTCTTCGTGGAAATCACTCCGTTTTGTCGAGGCACGCCGCGTCACTTGGGACTTTGTATAGTCACCGATTTGGGAGCTCGATTTAGCTCGCAAAATCGTCAAGCACTGCACGGCAGTAACCTTACCATATCTGTCTACTACCATTGCATGTTGATCTCTGGACATTCCGATATTCTATCTGCTTACTCTTGTACTCAAAATAGTAACTGTTTGCGATAGGAAAATAAGACGGTGATGCTTTTAACCCTATTTTGCAGATAACCCTTGTATACTTTAAGATTTCAAGAAGCAACATCCTTACAGTGCTGGATATGATCACAGATGTG